TATGGGTTTGTGTAAGCCCTCAGTCGTACAGGGATTAGTCAAAGCAAAGGAAGGTTTCTCACCCATCATCTGTACTTCTTAGCAAGTTTTCCCGACGTTTCGTCCTCAACCTGGGGACTTCTTCAGGGAATGAATTCTCGGACCGCGCATTGGAGATTTATAACCTATGGGTGTGGTAAGCCACACCCTAACCCTGATACTAACTCGTAAACAATCTCAGGTCTGCTTGATGTATTAATAAATCTCCTTGATGTTTATTGATGTTTATAAATCTCCAACGCGCGGTCCGAGAATTCATTCCCTGAAGAAGTCCCCAGGTTGAGGACGAAACGTCGGGAAAACTTGCTAAGAAGTACAGATGATGGGTGAGAAACCTTCCTTTGCTACTCTGACTATGTTGAAATTCAGGTTAAAACAGGTACAACAGAAGTATTGTATCTTCACTCTTTTGAATGTACTGTGATTATCTATTAGTTTATTGCCTTGTGTGAATTTAATGTTTTTCTTCTTGGGTTGTTGAGCACTTTGAGTTGCCGTGAGTATGAACTGTGCTATACAAATAAACTCATCATTATGAAAAAGAACACAGCTTGATGGAGTCCGACAGCTCATTCATTATGTCATCCATGTATTTTTCTCGCTGCCAAAATCCAAAATGCATCCATATGTTGATTCTATTGCTTCGTTTGAGGCTGATAAACATGTGTTATTGCGTTTGATCTTGTGAAGCCAGAGAGAGTCTTTGGAGATCTCTTGATGTATAGAAACAGCCTGAGGATATATGTACGTTTGACCCACTTTTCAAGACCAACATGTAACGCTCCAATGACGACTGCGATGAATAATGAATTGTAGACTTTCAATCACGGTGCAGACGACTGACGGACAAGCAACATGCTTTAAATCAAAGTGATGTCACCATAATCCAGACAAAGTGAGCTGAGATCTATAACTTTAGACTACGAGAAGTTGATTCACTGCAGATGTTACAACGGTTTAAAAACACAATGTACAATAGCTTGTGATCATTAAATAATACTTGTGTAGTGTAATTTTTTTGTATTTATAATATTTGTATTAGTAAGTAAGTAATGTTTATTTGAATAGCGCATTTTACAGACCAAGGTCACCCAAAGCGCTTAACAATGTTCAGAAATCAGATAATTTTCCATTCACACACGGCAATGACGGAAGCGAGACGCCGAACACAATGGCGCTTCAAAGTCCCCAACCAACAACATCAATCACTCATTACATTCATACCTACTGTACATGTTTTTAGTGGTAGGGGAAACCGGAGCACCTGGAATAAACCTACGCAAGCACAGAGAGAACCTGTAAACTCCACTCAGAAAGGCCCTGTTCTGACCAGGATTCAAACCAGGGACTTTCTGGCTGAGAATCGAGAGTGCTATCCACTCAGCCATTGTTAATATTGTATTTGTATATCGGTTTTTATTATCATAATTATTATTACGTCATGGGAACCTCCTGGATCTACAGCCTCAGTCCTTGTTCTGAGTCCTGGATCTACAACCTGTTGGTCCGTGGGAGAGGATCCTTCTATTTTTTTTTTTTTTTTTTTGAGTCATTCTTTGCTGATGCAGGAGGGTCTAAAGACAGTGGTGATTCAGGACATTTAAGGACATCTATTCACACTTATAGACAATGGTCATCCCACTCTTTATTTAACAATGGCCCCTATGTGTTTGTTATTATTGTATTTCCTGTGTTTGAAATATTTGATTCTCTGATCTGTTGTTGGTGAATCAACACTTTTGTAAAGTTTTCCGAGACGACTGCAACAAAAAAAGTAGTAGAAGTATTAATAGTACACAGGCTAAATACATGAATAAAGAAGTAGAAATCTGAATTTCCTTCTTCTTCTTTTTTTACAAAATAAACATTGGCATTTTCCCCACATTATACTGCTTATTATGCTGCTTCCTCGCATCAGAAAGAGTGAATTGGGTCAAACCAGGACTCGTCCCAAAGTTGGAAGAGAAAACACCGCTGGCTCCTTCTCCTTTTGTGCAACTCTGCGATATTCTGAGCTGATGCAACATGTCACCCTCTCACATTATAGTTATATGGTTACCCTGAGAGAAAACACCACAGTTTAAAGCTGGGGAACCTAACTTTGAGACCACAATGTTAGACAGAAAAGTGAAAGAGAGAGGATCACCCTCACTCAGCCAATCAGCTCTCAGTATCTTAAACTAGCATGTCCAACTTGAGGCCCAAGGGCCAAATGCAGCCCGCTGTGTCGTTTCCTGTGGCCCTCAGCCGCCAACACAAAGAAGCCATTGAGGCACTTTCACAGTGTCATCCAGCCAACTTCAGCTCCCAATATTGTCATCCGTTAACTTTGTTTGTAAATAGTGACATGTTTTTTTGATTGCGGACGTATCGTGCTCAATTTTAAATCTCAGAACAACTCGAATTCAGTGGAAACAATTTTACAATCGATGTTGTCGGCCCCTGGTCTGTTTGGTGAACTAAAAGGTTTAGAAACCCCTGATGTATAAGATAACGGCCTGATTTGTTCACAACATTTGACTTAAATAAGACCCTTTCTGTTGAGACAAATAAAGGGTTCCTGATAACAAATGAACCTGATGATCTCCGTCCACAAGCAGCAGCACGATTCAAGACTCTGCAGGTAAAGCTCAACAAGAAAGTTTGAAGCACTTCAATTATATTTTTTGTGTATCACCTGAAACACAAGGCTGTAGACCCAGAACTGAGGCAGTAGAACAAGGACTACAGCCTCAGCCTTCACCCCCTTCTCGCCTACTAGCAATAATGTTGTAATTAATATCCTTAGCAACACAAGTAGATCTTGTTAAAGCAGCATATGGACGAATGGATGGATTTAGATTAGCTTATTAAGTTAAAGGGACAGTGTGTAATAAGCTCGTGGTCTCATAAAGTCATTACAATCACACTGTTGTTGCCAGAATATTCCTACAGTGACAAATGTAGCTCCTAAACACCGATCACTGATGCAATCCACCTGCTGGACTTCAGATAGAAATGTTTTAGTATATTTAAACACATTTTGAACAAATTGTTATTCTTTTTTTAAGGAAAAAAAGATAGAAGCCAAAACCAGCTTAATGTCGCCTAGATAACTGGCAACCCAAATAAAAGACTCATTCTGCTTTCGGATTGGTTTATCTGCTTGAAAATAACATCAATATTATAGCCATCATGTCCATTGTTTTTTGTTTTTTTTAATAACTCAACTAAAAAGGTTATGATGTGGACACGTATCAAAGATATAAACGATGTGGGGAAAGTAACTAGAGTAATATCAGAACAGAGCATAAATAAACTACAGTAATATATTCCTCTGTGAAGTATCCGCTTCACAGAGGAATGTGAAGCGGATGCTAGTCGTAATAAGACATTACTGCAGATTTTATTAGCATCATTACTGTATATTTAACAGGACATCATCCTCCACGAACAGCAGAGATGAAAACATGTGGTCCCAAAACCAAAAACATATTTTTAATCTTCTAATATGACTTTCTTTTCATCAAATTTTGACCAATCAGGTGATATTGGATCATTTCCAAAAGGCACAACAAACTACATCTCAAGGCACACTAACGTCCCACATCCCACTGGTTGAGAAACACTAATTTATACCAAATATAGACTGAAGTTATGACCCTAGAGACAGACTGCTCCCAATCACTCAAACAAATGCAACTAATCAAAGTACAGTAAAGAACAGTATTGTAAAGACACAGATGAGATTTCTTATCACTGTAACTTTACATTAGATAGATGCACATTTTTTCTCTTTCAAATTGAGACTGTGCTTTATTTGACAGATCTTGTTTGAGCGTTTTGCGTTAGGCCCAATGGGAATTTGTTCCACTACAGCAGGGACAGGGTATTTCTGCCACTCATCAAACACAGTGCGTGAAATCCATCTGTATACTAGTACAATTTATGTATCTAAATTACACTTTCACAGTCACTTTTATAACGCTGGTCTCTGGGAAACACCACCCGGCCACTTCCTTGTGCGTTATCGTATGAATGATTACACTGTTATTACTATGGCACTGCTCAGGGCAACACACTGGACATGGGCAGGCTGCTGATGTGAAACGAAAACATATGAAGCTAAATAAATCTTGGGAAATGGCATGACATTGACCAGAATCATAGAAAATATAGTGGAAAAACAGATCTTTCTCATTAACTTCAATCATCATAAAGATATTTCACATCTATAAGTAACAAAGGGTGAATTCTAGCCTTTTTTTTCTAGTTAGATAGATAGATAGATAAATACTTTATTGATTCCCCATAGGAGAAATTCAGGTGTCCAGCAGCAGAAGACTCTTTTCTTGTTGTTGTAGTACAGTTAGTCAGCTAGCAACAATAGATTCAGACAGCAGCAATGTATAATACAATCTTTACAACCAAATATCCAAATATTTATCTCCCCATATTATTCTTCTTTCTCAGCCAGATAACAGCCTCAGCTTGAACAGGCGTGAATGACAGCAGTATAAACAATCTGCTTTGACTGCTGTTTTATTCCCCTGTGGGACGAATACGGGATCTCTTCATCTTAATTTCATTATATATAGAATTACAACAATAATGCTTCAAATTCACTTGTTTCCATTGCAAACATATAGGCCACGATGTGTCATAGGCTATACCAGAGCTGTGCTGAATATTGCAGGCTATATTTTACTTCTGGTTTGCAAATACACGTGAATACAAAAGCAGACAACCAAACCATTTTATAGTGAAATCATTATAAGGCGTGAAAGTGCGAGACTGCGGTGCGTAAAGCCACTGTCACTACTTGGATGCAGTCGTGTCCCGTTTGAAAACCAGGTCAGCCGCGATATGGATGTTTACGCTTCGGATGCCGCAGCAGACCACCGCGCGCGTCGCTTCCCAAACACACACAGACACAAAACAGCCGAGAAAACAGCCACTTCGCCGATCACTGTCTGTCATACCTTCGGACAGCTCCAGGTCCAACTCCGCCAGCTGGTCGCGGATCTGCTTGGGGAGCCCGGACACGTCCAGCAGCGCACGGTCCGCCATGGCGCAGGGGCTGTCGAGCGGAGAAGCAGAAGCTGGAATCCGGGTATAGTCCTCACTGAAGGAGGGTGACGCTGCTACGCGGAGGGGGTCATGGAGCTCGGCGGGTTCACGGTGGCCCCTGATCCGCCATGACTCACGGGACAGTGGAGCTGAAGGACTGGAGGCTCTGTGGAGGATGGAGGAGAGAGGTCACGTGAGCAGGATCACACATAGAGGAGCGACGGGGGCAGTGCGCCCTCTGCTGGACGACAACTGGCATCATAAAGGCACAGCGTTATTTACTGATGTTTTCAAATTGTTTGTCTTGTTTTATGTTATGCTGTATGAAAAATATAAGTTGAGGATAATTATTTTTACTGCATATAACAAAGATATTTACTTACATACTATAAAATCTATTCTGACAATGTTCAAATATAGGCTAAGAGCTTGAGTTGTGCTTATAACTGAAGGATTGTATCTTAATTTTTAATGTATTGTGATTATATATATTTTTTCTTTATCTTATTAGAAAAAATATATATCTTTTATTAACTGTGCTATCCTTGGATCTAAATGACCTGCCACAGAAGATATAAAGTCGAAGAATATAAATATAAATTAGGGTCTAAACAGGTCTAAATGAACCAATAAGGCTGGTAAAGTTCAGCTTGAAAAAAAATATTTGGGCATTTTTTTTATCACTGTGGCCAAACGGTTGTTGTGTCCTTTGGCAAGACACTTCACCCACATTGCCTAGAATGAGTCTGGTTTAAAACTGATACATTCTATTAGAAAGTACATTTTGTGTCGGAGCAATTTTCCTTTTATTGGTTTACATTTTTCATCTTTCTATATTTAGGTTGTTCGAATTTACAGCCATTTATGAAGCATTCACAGTGACTTCTGTCTGACTTTTGAACCTGTAGTGCATCCTATGATTATTTGAGTTAAGTTCAGTGGTATGTTTATTTACATTTTCTTTGATACTAAACTGTACATTAGTGGAGTCATAGTATAAATAAAGTAGCGATACCAGGAAAAAAACACCTACTTTAAAAATACTTACCGTAGTTTCTTGCCATCTCTGCACAAGGCTGCACAAGGCTGCGGCTGTAAAGTTCACATTATTGTTGTGCTTTTAGGCAAAACACTCTGAGAACAATGGTGGTGGTCAGAGGGTGGTTAGACAAAACAAACCTTTTATTGTTGTTGTTGAATGAGTGGATGCAGCCGGTGGGCTTAACATTTGTCATACCCACTATGGCCAGTAATAAGTAATAGAAGGGGGAAAAATATCTGAACTGAAAAAAATAAAAATAAAAGGATATTTTTGCACACTGTTTAATATTATCGTTTTTGGTGCACATGTACAAGTTCTAAATAAAAATAGTTACTACTATAATATACAACTTTGGAATTATTTTTCAGAGACCTTATCTATCATCAAAAATGCAATGTCATGAAATGGATCAAATCTTTGGTGAGCTCTGGTGTGATCAGTGTTTTTATGTTTAAAAACGGTTAATTATTTTGTTAAGAGTAGAATGTTTTATTTTATATACCCGACAGTTTTGACCTCAGAGTGGTAGAGAGATGTCCCTGTCTTGTGGTTTTACAGTTTTTGGAGCAGTCTATCACCAGAGGCAGGACCAGAGCACCATCTGCAGTCCGACTTCTTCCCAGGTGTGTGAGAGTACAGCAGCCCTCTTGTCCTGGTTTATAGTTCTGGGGAGCAGTTTCTGTATGTCTATTGTCTCTTTGATCTAGCGTTGGTGTACGTTGTCCTCCACCAGTATATTTGTTTCATCAGTCCATTTTGTGGTTATCTCTTTTACAGCGGTAAGAGATGGCTCAGTCCATAATGTGGTTTTACAAAGACTATTACAGACAAGATGGCGCCGAGACAGGGCACCGCAGCAAGAGCTCTGGTGTGCACTATCAGCATGTTCCAGCTTCTTCCCACAAGCTGTTTTCAGATTGAACAAAGCACTTACATTTTTATTTAATCAGAATAAGAATCCTTTTTATTGCCATGTGAGAAACGGGAAATCACAAACTAGGAAATTGCGTTGGCTCTTGGTGCAAACTGTTGTTGTTGGTGGTTTCGCAGTTTCTGGTACCTTTTATCTTGATTTATTTTATATATTTGTCCGATGCACACTGGGGTATTTTTGCACATGTATTCTAAAGAGGTTTTACTGCAAACAGCAAATAAATAGAATCTAAATCTTCTCTCTTTTACAATGGTCAGAGATGGCTGATATGACTTGCTCTTGTTTTCTGACTGCAGATGGCGCTGTCTGGACGGCGGCAAAACTGTAAAACCACTGACAAGACGCGTCACAGGAATATCACATGACCTTTCTGAGGAACGCTGAGGACCATATGAACAACTATCAAAAACTCCAATCTGAATGGAGTTACAACAATGTCATTTCTAACCACTCTCACATTTGTCATCAACATTTTCTCCTTTTCCACCAGACATTTCTTTCCTTTTTATTTATTATTTGTTTATTTTATTGTATTCAACACAGTTCAGACTATACACATACATTTTTTCCATTTCCCAGTTTGGAATAAACTTTGAACAAAACCTCGGGCATGACACAAAAATTAACAATAGTAAAAAATAAAAAGCTGCGGAAATACTATGCGTGTCAAATATTCAAATCTGAAATGCCGCAAGCAAATAGTGTCGAGTCCAGGCCAATAATAATAATAATAATAATAATAATAACACTGATAAACAGAATAACCATTCATTCACATTGTAAGAACGCATAGAAAAATATATATTGCACTACTCTTTCCTCAAATACATAAATGATAAAAACCCTGTATTATGTGACACTCTCCAAACACAGCAGTGGTTCTCAACGAGACAATAAATTACAAAAAATAAATAAAATACAATTAGAGATTTAACAATTATTTAAGTGCAATTTTGTGGTGAATCTTTTTTTTTATCTGGGGTACCTAGTTTTTTTGTTTCTGAATAAAATACATGCGTTGGCCGGGCCCAACAAAGAATTTTGTCATGAGCAAAGTCTTGTGAACAAATCAGACCCCAACATTTTGTCCTCCTGCCTTGATAGCCTCTTCAGTCCTGGATCTACAGCCTGTCCGTCCGTGGGAGTGGATAACTCTCAATACGGGTCTCCACAAGGTTTCTCACTTTTTGTTGTTGAGTGGTTCCTTACTGATGCACGGTCTAAAGACAGTGATGATCAGTAAGAACCGTGGTAATCCCGCTTCCTATGGACCAATGTCGCCTCTGTGTTTGTTATTATTGCAATTCCTGTGTTTGAACCGTTTGATTCTCTGATCTCTTGATGGGGAATTGACAATTTTGTAACGTCCTCCGAGACTACTGCCGTTGTGATTTAAGGCTATTACACAAATGAATTGAATTGTAAGAAAGAGCCCTGTGAGTCACTATTTGATGCTATGAGTGTGGTCCTTTCAATTTTCTGTCCGACAAAGCTGATCTAAAGGTGTGACAGAGACCAACAATAGCCCCAAACTGTTTTATATTTGTATTTTTGTGGTTTGAAAGTCACCCGCCCAGCTTTATGTATTAATCATATGTATAAAAAAATATGTATAATGGAATAAGATATAGACACACATGCAGTTGTAAAGTAACTTCACTTGAGAAACACTTAACCAATTAAATCTGTCGTTAGTAATTTGACAAGAGAGCGTTTAGGCAGCAGGGAAGGGAAGGGGGGGCCATATTTGCACCACAAGTTCCTGATAATAGCGTGGATGGAGCCAAAAAACTACTCCAGGTCTGTTTGATGGGGGAACAACGTCAGCAAATCTCCTTTAAACCAGTCGAGAACCACTGCTGCGTTGCCATGTCCAGCTAAAGCCAACCACAAACATCGAGAAAGGGAATTCTTACATTGTTTTTGCATCAATAACTTTATATATTTTAAAAAGACATTTGGAAAAAGCAGGAACAATGATAGTTTGAAGCACATCAGTGGTCGTCAGCCGCTTTTTGAACGTTAGAACGAGTCCATGCAGTCTCAGGGTGGATACATACTATGCAATGATGTAATAGTTTGGAACAGAACGAGAAACCGTCAGGCACGAGACACACACGGGGAGAGTGTGTTCACAGCTATTAGTTTGGTTTATGCACACGACAAGGACATGACATCGACTTTCTGAAAGAGACGACATGGTAAAGACGCACTGTGGAGCGGTGTGTGTACGGGAATATGCAGGGTTATGGAGAGAGTCGAGTTTGAGTGAATTCTGGCGAGTAGAAAGACATTTTGTGGCCGTTTTCCTTGATTTAAAAAAATACCATAGATTTGTACATTTAGACTTTTGTTAATGTTTCTGGACAATGGTCTCCTATGTGTTTGATATTATTGCGTTTGATTCTTTGATCTATTGTTGCCGAATTGAAAACTTCCGATACGACTGATGTTGGGATTTAGGGAAAAAAAATATAATAACCTGAATTGAACCGTTCGTAGTATTATATAAGAAGGTGTTGTTTATAATCTCATTTTGCCCGTACACTGTGTATGTACCTTTTAGTCCAAACAGAAAGAGTAACATAATTCTAAAAAGAATTTCATTGCGCAGCACTATGGAAACTGTATGTTTTTAAATGTGCAATATAAATAAAGTGCATTGACTGGAATTTGTGCTCTGCAGGTTTGAAATAAATAACTGGCTAAAAAGCAGAAAACCCCAATTCAACAACAGATGTAACATGGAGTTAAATGTTCATTTTTTTTATACAATGAAATGCATGTTTTTTGAAGTGGAAAAGAGTTTAAAATTACTTAAATCAGACAGTTCATTTTTATAGATTATATTACTTAAAAAAGGTGTATGAGGATTTTCTAAAATTTTAGGAAAGAACAGCTCTCTCCACTTTTTAAATAAAACTTTCTGGTCTTATTTGACGAGCACGTATCACTTGGATGATTGACAATTGGGAGGACCAATAGTCTCAATGATCCACCCGGAAGTAGAAAACCCCCTAAAAAAATCCCTTATTTCAACAAGACTTCTTTACTATTTTACGAGTGTTAACGTTAAAGTTCCGGACAGCAGGTCAGTGGGAGTTTTGTAACTTGCCAATATTGAGTGAATGAACAAACGCACATGTCTCCACAGTAACAAGAGGAAAGTTCCACAGTGCGTCTTTAAAAAAAACTAAAAGTAAACGTTATGTTGGACGCACAAGCCCCAGTGCGATCTTTACTGCAAATATGGACAATCAACGTCTTTAAAATCTTTTCTTACATAATATTTACATTATATATATCTATATATATATATTACACAGTGAAGAACAGCCACTGGGGGAAGCACTGCGCGGTCTGGGCAGCCATTCATGAAGTCACCATAGAAATAAATAAATAAGATAATAGTTTGTGTTTCTCCTTGTTCTGTGTGGGTGAACTATAGTAAACAATATAACTAATTATGGTTACAATTCTAAAGCTGGGGTATTTATTTTTCTTTTCCTCTTGTAGTTTGTCCAATTAGAAAAAGTCTTGTAAAAGTAAAAAACTGGAACCAAATCAGACCGTAACATGCCGTCTTCATCTTACTAGAAAACATGTTATCTTTTAGGCAAAGAGCCCTGTGACACTTTAAGGTTGTCCCCTATTTTTCAATTTTATGTCTGAAAAACCTTAAAGATGTGACAGAGATGTGAAAACTAGTGATAGAAGCAGCTGTTTTGAGAGGAGCTGACGACATGGATTTTATTATAGTAAAAATGTGGTTGTACCTGAGCTTTAAAGAGACTCCGGTTTTACCCAGTGCAGATATTTTGTAATAGCAGCTCTCAATAATTTAATAATTGAGATGAACAGTCTTATAAAATGTCTTAGAGAAGAAATATTATGCTTTTTTTTGTAATTATGAGACTATTTTGTCATGTCCCGTTTTGTATCGCTGAGAGCTGATCGGCTGGGTGAAGAAGGTCCTCTCTTGTTCACTTTTCTCTCTAAACCAGCTGATCTTATAATGTGACTTCAGGTTATTTGAAAGTTGGGTACCCCAGCTTTAATTCAGCATATTTCCCATTCAGATCCATGTTTGTAGATTAGCCGCTAACCGCAAAAACGAAGCATATTAGAAAATGTTTTGGTCCTGATTATAAACCACTTATTTTCCTAGAATTTTAAAGTGCTCTAGAAACACAGTATTTCCTGTGCCTTTCCCAACATGTGGGAGGCGCACAGCAGTTAAAAAGCAGTTTAATTTGACCGTTATTAACCCACTGAAGGGCTGCAAAGAAAAGTGCTTTTCATAGTAACTTCTACCATGGCAACGTGTGTGTGAGAGTGAATGTGGGAATGGCTGCGCAGACCGAGTCAACAGACAAAAATAAAGCAGTTTTTTAAAGAGAAATGAGAACAAATATTGAACTTAAATCCATTTACACTGCAAAACATGATAAACATATGTACTGAGTGCTTGAACTAAGGAGTATTCATATTGATTTGAGTAGATTTTCAAATAGAAAACAAGCTAATTTCATACGTTTTTTGATTTGAGCCCTGTTTCCACCAGCCCTACTCGGCACTACTTTACTCGGCTCTACTATACCTGGTTGCGTTTCTGGTACCGTATCCCAGCAAACAATCCACAACATACAAGTATTTGCGGACATCCCTTTGTAACCATGGCTACCAGTGGCATTCTGGCCAATCACTGTCAGAACACTTTAGTTTTACCAGCTCGGCCTCGATAAAAACAGAGCCAAGAAGCTACTTAAAAAAGTCCCTGGTATCAGTTAAACCAGTGGAAATGCTCCCAATCGGGGTAGAGTCGAGTCGAGTAGGGCCAAGTAGGCCTGGTGGAAATTGGGCTTTTTAAAGGGGATTATGACTGTTTTATTTTATACGTTTTGAACAGTAAAATGCACTCAAATCTAGATGAATATTGCTGAGTTCACGCATTTATGGACTTGCTTTGTCATTTTTTATGCCCTATGAATCCATTCTTACAAGACACTACAAAAAATGACAAAACATAACATAGAAATTGCTTGAATTATGGGAACTATTATATTGATGAAGCAAAAATATTTGGACAGTAGAGATGCCAATGTAGCTTAAAAAAATAAATAAATCAAAATCAAAGTGAGAAACTACTATTTTTCATAATGTACTGCTATGCTACTGTACGCAACTTTCTGAATTATGGCAACATTACAAGAGGAACAAGTGCATTCAGGGATCAAAACAAGTGGAACAAATGTGATTGCAGTGAGAATGTGTGTTTTTGCAATGAGCTCCGTTTAAAATGTGATGTCGTGTTCTGAGGTGTTGCTAATGTACCATATCTGTTTGAGGCATATGTGTAAATATGTCTTTGCTACTTTTTGGCCGTGTATAAATGTATGCACTCCTGTTTTTTCTTGAGTCTTGCCGTATCTACGTACTGACCACAATAGTAGTCATTAGTTGTTGTAGCTTTATACAGGTGTGAGTTTATTTTTTTCCGTACTTGAAGCATGTGATCAGTTGTCAAGGGATTTGTCATTCTTCTAACTTCACTAGATACTAGATACCCTGATGAAGACCCTACAGGAATAAAGCGTTTTAAATCGAGTGCCTCTGACCTTTTCCTTTTTGTTCTTAATTGGTGTGGACGGTTTGATTCTCTGATCTATAGTTGAGGAATCGACAACTTCCTCATATATAAAAATACATTGCATTGAATCCTTTCAGTAAAACCAGACATTCTGTTGTTCCATTGGCAAATCTTGTTTTAAAGCAAAAACACACTCAAATCAATATAAAATCTGCACAATTCAAGCATTTCATAACTAATATTTTGTGATTTTCTGCACATTATTCCATTCCAGAACAAGACGCGGCCCGAACTCCAAGAAGAGCAAATGTACAACGCACACTTCTGAAATCACAAATGTGGATTATAGAGTTTTCTCGGGGGTGGCGTGGAGGCACTGTGTTGTGTCTTTCTGTGTGTGACGCTCAAAAAAGGAAAAGTCCCTTATTACTCTAACCGGACCGCCGCAGCGCACACGGTCTGTATCCAGCGCCAGCACTTGAAACTGATCATCTGTGCGCAGGCGAGGGCGAGTGCGCGGCCATGAGGACCCCCTGTCCCGAGCCCATGCCTGCCAGGATCGCCACAGCCTCCGCGGCCCTCACGCTCATGCCGTTGATGGTGGGGACTGGGCTGGGACTGGGGCTGGGGCTGGAAGCCTGTATGACCGCGGACGGAGCAGGCTCTTCGGATCCCCCCGGGGCTGGTGGGTACAGACACACACACACGTCACCCTTACCGAGTGAGGGGTACAGCACGTTAGATGAGGTGGGACATGGGAGAACAGAAAAGTGAAATTAAAGTGAAAAATATGTATGGAGAATAGTGGGAGATTCATATGTAACAATAGAGGCTTCCAGGAGCGATGCGTTTAGAATTTCTGCGCGCACAAGATGCAAACATTCGGTCAAATACAAATACAGTTAGTGTGAGTGCGACTACCTCCTTATTTTCTGCATGTGTCTTCCCCATAGGGCAGGGGTGTCCAAACTTTTAAGATCAAGCGCCACGTGCTGAAATACAGAGCAGGTGGAGGGCCAAACGGGAGCGTCAAAAAGTTATCATTTAATTATGTTGTGCGCAACTATTCTAAACAGGTCAATCCTGGAAGGTTTTACTCCTTTCAAGACATGAGTGAGAGAAGCAGCCGTCACAGGGCAGTAAAAAAATGCAACTCTTCATTCACTCATGAAATAGAAACTCTTATTAAAATGACAATAGAATGAACAAAGTATAAACATAAAAATATAATGATGTAAATTAAATAATTGAAGAAAAACTGAAGAATTGAATACAAAATATGAATTTGTGTCAATGATTATTAGGACTCAGAAAAAGGTAATAAACAAATGCATAGTTGCGTGTGTGCCTGTGTGTGTATGCACCAATTTGTAAATAGTTTCTTAAATCCTTTATATATTTTTCTGTTAACAACAGGGGATATGTGTGATAAATGGTGCACGTAAATGTCTGTGTAAAGCCCCATTTCCACCAGCCCTACTTGGCCCTGCTCGACTCAATACTGTTCCCGTTGCGGTGGAAACGGGACATAAATTGTAGTTGCTGGTCGTCGTGGGGCAGTGCGAGCATAGACAGTATATTAGGAGTGGACTGGCCAGGTGTGACCATCATAGTTTTAGCCTTAATGTGGAAGAGGCCAATATGAACATAAGCTAGCTGGAGCCAATTTCCGCTGCCTTCTTCACGCCGTTTGTGTTGCCAGGGACGCAGATAGTGCTAAACCTCATAATTTTAATCCCAAAAAGGTGACTGAGCTAGGAGTTTACTTTTCAATGTAAGTCAATAGAAGCCAGAGCAAGTTGGTGTAAGCACTTCCCTATTGGGCTTCATTGAGCTAGCGGGTTAGCATTTTCCATCTATATATAGTCTATGAGTGTGAGTTGCAGTTGTTAGAAGCCATGGTGCAGTGTGAGTTGTACCTAGCATGGCGGCCTTCTTCTGCATGAGCGTCACCGGACAGTCTTTATGCGCCAACAGCAACTGTTTGAGCTGCGCCACCTCGTTCCTCAACAGAGTAACCTCATTCTGAAACAACCACAGACCAGGGTCAAGAGGAATCAGAAAGACCACAACCAAATACTTAGACGGTATTAGTTGCATACAAGACAAGATAATGCATTTAGGTGCGCTAGAAAGCCATGCTAGCGTGGTGACACTCTTGCTTCTCTTGCTGGGTTTGAATACCAGTCGCAAACTCAAAAACGTGCTATTATTATTTTTGAGTTAAAAATGACAGCTTACGCATCAAAAGGAGAATTTATTAACAATCGCTGTGGTATGGAGCCGCAAAGTGGGCAAAGTTTCAGTAACATTTTGACATTCATGCCCAAAGGAGTTTTGACAATTCCGAATTCCAAGTTTGAAGACATGATGGAGGCCAGCAACCTGGTAATAAGTATTCAGAGCACAGAGATTTGCAGTTGTATCGTTTTAAACATATATGATATTTTTATCAGATAGCTGATCATCCCGAACACGGTCTCAATCCTTTATAATAAGGAGGATTTTACATTAGGAATTTTACTTCCTGAAACCTTAAGCCCCATCCACTTTACAGTACCACTGACATTCGTATGGAGTATTGAGTATTAGAGAAATAATTGGATAAGTGTAGTATCGTGAGACTGACCGTTAGTGAGATGTTCATGGAGGCCATGTCGTCCGCCTTCTTCTCCAGAGAGTTCACCCACAGTTTTCGTTTCTGTCGACACCGTGAAGCCGCAGCTCTGTTCCGCTCCAGGAAGCGTTGCCTCCTCTCGTCTGGGTCCATCTCTGAGGCGCGGCGTCGGCGCCCCCCAGTGGGCTGAGCGGGAGACACCTGAGGAAGAGGAGACCAGAGGGGACAGAGTCAGCACAAGACCAGAATGGAATCCCCAGTGTTAAAGCTTTAAGTTACAGATGAGTAAAAGCATTTTTTGACCCAGGACAACACAGGGAAAGGTTGGTTTTTTGCTTAAACCATGTCAAAATAAAAGGGTCAAAACAAACTTCTCACTATCTAAGGCCCAATTTAGACGGAGACGCTACAAGACGCTGCTAGGCAATTTGTAAAAATGACACTGCTCCAGATTCAAAGTGCAGAGCATGTACACAGCGAAAGAAAACAATGTAGTTCTAGCTCCCGGCCAGTAGTCAACAGTGAACAACGCGCCACCTACAACCCCCACCAGTATAACCACTTTCTCAACAACATCCTCCTCAGGCCACAGCAAAGCCAGAAAAGAATGCACCAACATCATTATTTAACAGCAGCTGCGAAAAGGCAAACAGTAACAACAGCTTTGCGTGGTTTCGTTTGAACGGATGAAGGAGTAGATTGGCCGCCATTGACATTTACGTTTGTTCTCAGCCAATGCACATGTCCACTGTCATTGCAGCCAGAGATTTCACACGGCTGTGAAACAACCCCGGATTGAACGAAAGGCCAATCCAATACCCAACTATCGTTTTACTGTCGCAGCTTCTCCGTGTAAACAGCGCCTTAATAAGTATTCTAAAGTCAGAGCACAGAGAATCCAGGACCAGAGAGAATCATATTAGAATGGACTACTGCAACTTTCTCATTAAAACATGCAGCCCAGTCAACACCAGTGACTGAAACAGCACATTTTTTTCAGTCTCGTGTGAAAGTGGACAAAAAAATGGAGCCTGTTCTCACCCCAGAACCATGAAATCCCCCCCGCCCTCACCTGTGGCTGTGCGGGCGAGGGGGCGTCCGAGTTCTGGTTGGGTTGATGGCTTTGTTCTTGTCTTTGGGGCACAGAAGGGAACGAGCCTCCGTCAGAACTGGAGCTCTGATTACTCAACGCTGCTTTTAACCTCTGCAATCACACAGCGAACTTTTAGACAGTTTGGACGCATCCTAAACTCGTACTGCGTATCTTCCCCTCACCATCTTGGCCTCTGAATGTAGACTGTATCCGGACGGAGAGGATGAGCCGCTGCTGCCTCCCCCGAGAGGAGGTCCGGGGATCCCAGGGACGTTAGGCACTGTGGGGGAAGGCCGGGCGAGCTGAAACGAAACCAAAAACAAGCAGTCAATGACTTGGTTATGAGGCCCTCCAATACAGGTACAGAATAATAATACATTTTATTCCTTAGGTGCCTTTCTAGATACTCAAGGTTGTCTTACATCAAGTAAAAAGTACATTTAACCCTCTCCAGGCAGACGCTGCACAGAGGGTTAACTTAATTTCTTATTACTCAACTTTTTGACCCTTTTTACTCAGAAGTACCACTGCTGCACTTAGTTGAGCTTCAGCAACACATAGTTATCCACCTGCTCACCCGGGGGCAGAGCTGTCTCACTTCCAAAATGTCAGTCTCCTTGGTTTCACCGCAACAGATTTTCTAGGAATAAATTTAAATTCAGTATCACTACCAACCTCTAATCATTTGAAACAAAAACTGCATAAAATGAAAGTTAGTGGATTATATCTCTTCTGGGTTTTCCCCGGGTCAGCTCAATTTACCACAGCGGGCCAATGTTGCAAATCTGCAACATTCCAGAATGCATTGTCGGTGAAGGTCTTTCTCTCAAAATACACTGGAATGAGGCCATTTATTAATTTGAAGACGTGAGGGCGCCCGAACATCATTCATGGATTATATAGATTGGAAATTGTAGCAGAATGAAGTCCAACCAGTGAGAGCGTCACAGCAGACGTGTTGCTAAGACCGTTGCTATGGCGAGGTGGACTTTCCCCGTGAAAGAAGGCATCTGATTGGTCAATTATTTCATGTGCGAGTTAGCTTAGGGACAGACAGGAGTCATGCTTTTGTGAAATTCCAGAGAGTAGGAGCGGCTTTCTCTGCTGCAGTGTTTGTGTCTGTCCCCGAGCAAAGATGTCTTTAGATTGTTAGAGGACATAACCTGCTGCAGAAGAAAATAACCTCTAAAAAAGCAATTGAAGTGTGTATGCAGTGGTCTCAGTGTTTTCCCACACACAGAATATTCTAAAGCCCTTACAGATATTACTGAGGTCATCTGAGGACTGGGCAGCAGGGGAACAGTCTGTCCGTTGGGGAGGTGCCTCATGAGCGGGTAGGCGCTGGTTGGAGACCTGAAGAGAAGAACAGATCACATTATTTGTATTCATTTAGGGTCCAAAACATGATCTTGAGAATGTTTACTTATGCAGTTTAGAATGTGAAATTATAATGAGTTGAAAATATGTATGAAAGACATGGTTCAGATGAGGCAAAAATTGGCCATTTGCTCGGATATGGTTCCAGATACTAAAGCGTAGTAGAAACGCAACCAGGTAGGATAAGGTAGGTTAGAATAGGGAAAGTTAGGGCAGGGTAGAGTAGGGTGTGGTAGAGTAGAGTAGGGCCAAGAAGGACTGGTAGAAATGGGGCTATAGATAAAAACTTTAAAGAGATTGTATTTGAAAAAATGTAATTTGCAGAGTTGCATCTCTTCTTACTCTTTCAGTCCTCGTGGATGCTCTGTTCTCTGTGTCTTTCTGACTAGATATAGATGGGTTTGGCTAAATGACATACAATAATGTTTGTTACCCGAGCGCTCGGTTGGAGGGCGGGGCCTGTGTGATGACGGAGGTGGGAGAGGGGAGCGTGGGCTGGAAGTGTTCGCTGCTCAGGTGAAGAGGCAGAGACCCTGGGCGCACGATGGTGGGAGTGGGAGCTGAGGAGACCACAGGCTTCTGGAGGATCTCCTGGGGAAAAGGACACTATAGAATTACATTTAGATAAGTCTGATGATGCACCAACATGCTAGAGACCGGCTTAAGCTAGCAATACCATATCCAGAGAGAGAGTGAGAGTGAGAGAGAGTGTGTGAGAGTGTGAGAGAGTGAGAGTGTGTGAGAGTGTGAGAGAGTGAGAGTGCGAGGGAGTGAGAGAGTGAGAGTGTGTGAGAGAGTGAGAGTGCGAGGGAGTGAGAGTGTGTGAGAGTGAGAGTGCAAGGGAGTGAGAGAGTGAGAGTGTGAGAGAGTGAGAGAGTGTGACAGTGAGAGATAGAGATAGAGAGAGAGAGAGAGATAGTGTCCTTGCCTTTGTGCCTCTGGAGCTGTCCGACATACTGGAGGAGGAGTCTGGACTCCCGGGAGCCGAGGAGTCCACCTGTAACGGGCTGTCGTCTTCGTCTTTGACGTCTGAGGGTGTTTGTAAAGGTGCAGGCTGCAGAGCATAGAAAACCCCATTTTAACGTATTTACGTGAAACATGTATCACTCTCTTTCAGCCCAATTCAATTAGATTGAGCAAGATGCACGCTCTGAATGAGGAGTGAAAAACCAGTCTGTTTGGTGTACCTGGATGAAACCATTTCTACTGCGTTTCCACTGCATGTAACCACATGAAGCGGATAGTTCTGAGACAAAGACCAGCAGAAGCATAAAAGCACAGGGAAAAGACATGCTGGTATTTGAAATGTATGTATTGGAAGCATTAAGGCCACTCTGATGTGATCAATGCGATGAAGCACACAGTCCCTATGCACGTGTTTGATAGTTTTGTTCTGAGAGCAGAGTAGAACAAGAACTCCCAGAGAAGTCTGTTTCGCATTTTGTTATATTTCAAGTTATATTCACCCTTTATAGCGCTTATTAAAATGGACAAAAGATAAAAACCATATACCATAATACCTTTAAATCCATCGGGTGAAAAACTAAACTTTTATTTCTGGGAGTCTTGGTGTTAATCGGGTACAGACATGACATGATTTGAGATGCAGTTGATCCTGAGTGAAACACCTCAAAGTAAACAGCCGTATTGTGTGTGTTTATTCCACATCGATCGGGCACAAAACTTGTGGTACCGTAAACTCACCATAGCTTTGGTCCGGTGCTCCTCATCGTGCGTCTTAGTGAACTCTTGCTCAAACGAAGTGGCGAGCTCGTTGAATAATCCGACCTCGTCACAGTTCTTCAGGAAACGTGTGGGAGTCGGTGTTTGGTCTGCGACAAAACACATCATTTAAATCTATTTTTGGGTCAATGAGGTTTTGTTGGTTTTCCGTCAGAATATTTGGGGCAAGTTACTAATTGTCAACCAGCCAAATAGCCACACAGCAGGAAGGGAAGTTCTATATTATTCAGAGGGACTTGAATTCAGGATTTCTTTCCTAATTCTAGTTGTTTTTGACTATTTTTGTTCCATTTACTTGAGCTCTCTTCATTGTCTCATTCATTAGGGGTCAATACACAATTTACAAGAACTCTTTTTGCCAAGAAGAATGGGAAGTTTCACCATCAGAGAGACTAGAGTAAGACCAGAGAGAGACTAGACAGAGACCAAAGAGAGAGAGATCATAGAGAGAGACTACAGAGAGAGACTAGGGAGAGGGACCATCAAGACACACCAGTGAGAAACCAAAGAGAGAGACAAGAGAGTGTTCCTTTAAGCAATCACAAAATTACATTTTATTGGGCTGTGTATGATTAATATTGACAACGTGAACAAATATTGGATTACAATATCATAATAAGGAAGCATTTCCCGAATGCACTAATAATATTATAATTTTTGTACCTTGGATGATGACGGAGTCCGTTCGCGCCGGGCCAAACTTTAGCGTCATCTCGTGTTTATGTTTGTGGACGGACAGGTGGTCCTCGTTTGTGAATCGCTAAAAAAGTAAGAGAAAGAAAGTAGAGCAGAAAATATTGTGAGAATATTCCCATTTTGTGTTTTAGGAATGGCAACTATAGGCAAGTAAGTAATCTTTATCTATACAGGGAATTTTACTAACCAAGGTCAAAAAAGCGTTAGAGGGGGCGATATATCAAAATATTCTTTAAGTTCGATATGAATTTTGACATATTGGACATACCACTTGCCTTCTCTGCCCTCGCCTGCTCACCCCCGCCTCCTTGCTGCTGTTACCCCTCCCCTCGCGTGTGTCTCATTCACTGCACCGCTCTTTTAGCTCAGAGCATAGATTGTAAACATGTTCGAAGGCAGCAGACTTGTCTAAAAAACGCAGCGTGTAGAATATGACAGAAGCGCGGGTGGTGTAGCATCCGAGACCGTGGCATTTCCTACAGTGGTGGAATTATTATTGTCATTGAACAACGTGGCTTTATATCAGAGACTGTAAACTTTATACGCAGCTAAAAACAAACACAGATTACAGAGTATAGGCATAACACGATGCGATACACGAACTCGCGCAACTGAACACTACAGAGAGGGCCGCTTCTCACCGAATAGGAACAGGGTAAATACTAATAATGTGAATGGGGATTGTTTATGTTAAATGTGAAGAAGCACTTTATTCCTATGTGCACTGCACTGCCTTGAGTCGAGTCGTTTTATTTTTAAATGAAGAGAAGGCAATATGTTTAATTTCTTAATTCATTTCACAGATAAATTATCTTTTTAAACGGGGAATTAAAACAGATGTGACAAAAGCACTTTGCTCCTATTTGAACAGAGTCCTCTTTGAGGTTCAGTATATTTTTTTGGAAAATTTGCTTTTGCAGTAGTTGGGGTGTTATATATCCTGTAACATATTGAGATGTATATTGTATATCAAGATATGAAAAAATAAATCTTGATACATATATATATATATACAATAATTTGTTATCTCATTGTCTGCTTTGACGTCCAAAGACGTAGTAATAGTAGCCATTGACGTCTTAAAACATCAAATGCGTTTTCCGCTATTTTCCTGTTCCCAGATGTCTGTTATATCTAATGTGTATGGGGATTAGCTTTAGACCATATTTTATCGTGCCAGCAGGTGGCAGCAGCGCTGCCTCTGGATGTTTTGAAAACAGGATGCACTTGTTGCGCCTCTTTTTCTCAGACTGGTGATTTTAGTAAAACTTCCCTCTACTCAACTGGGGATTACAGGGGATTGAAACAAGCTAGAAACATTCTTTTTGCTGATGAAAGCAGACAGTCCACATTTCAGATAGTCATAGTACACAATATTCTGTGGGTCTTGAAAAATCTACAAAAATCATCAGAAACTGCCGGCAATATTGGAGTACCTGTTCTGAAATAGGCCGGCAGTCAATGAGATATTAAATATATTATATAGAAACGCAATATTCAGAGTTCAGATATTTTTCCATTCTCTCCACACACGATGATGACGGAAAAAGAGGGTAATTACACTGCCATAGTCCGAGGATTGGTGATAGAATTTGACATTGGAGCCCAGATCTGGTTGTGATGAGCGACAATGTTGTAACAACGTGAAAAATTCAAGTACGATATTTTGTAATATTTCTTTTTCAAAAATAACATTCAGTTACATATATTCTGGTTTAACATTTTATATATCAGTCTTCTCACACATTTAAACGCTCCTGCAGTTGTTTACAATGATTTGAACAAAAATCTATATATTTAAAGTTAATCAGTTATAAGGGAGTCTTACCTGCCCACACCCAGGGGCATTGCACACAAAAGGCCGGTCGTCCCCCATCACTGAAGTCCTGCAGGAGCTCAGCAGCTGACCGCGAAATATACAGACGACAAAAAGGTTTATGATCAGTAAGGACAACAGTAACACCAGAGAAAGGCTTTGACAGCGGTTGAGACCATAACAGAAATGTGAAATATACAAATGTAATGTATATATTGAGGAATATTTTTCAGTCATAAAATAAAATATAGGATAAGATAAGATATGCTTTATTTATCTCACAAAAGGAGAAATTTACATGTCACATTTGGCATGGATAGAAACACTCAGATTGTGCAAAAGAAGGTATTTTAAAAAAACATCTGTTCCAGGGGTTGATCTCTGGAATGGATGCACAGAAGAACTTAAATCATGTCATTCACTCTTCCACTTAAAATGTTGGATTCCAGTCTCTTTTGCTTTCTGCTGATACTGATATGAACAAAGAGTTCTGGGAGCCTCTGCCAAAATGTATGAAAATGGTGAAACAAAAAAACATTTTATTTTTTTGTTTTAATGTGCTTTCTGTGTGAGGACAAACATTTGTAATATTTTCCAAAGTTGTAAAAATGTCCATAATAATAAATATTCAATTTCAACATTTCTGTCAACATAGATTCGCGTCATAGCCTGTGATAGGATTTAGCATGGCCCGGCACCAGGCGGCCGCTGTTATATACAAACCGGTGTGTGCGACATGGATCATGGATCCCAAAGGCAAAAAGAGCCGATGACAACCGAGGATACAAGGAAGAACAGACCAAATCATTTTTGCTTTGTTTTTTGCTTTGTATATTTCTGTTTTTTTGTTGCAACCCGAGAAAAAGAGAAAATGCTGATTACATGAAAAATGTATTTATGAATTGATGGACAGTGGTCATATTTGTTATTGCATTTCCTGTGAACCGATTCTCTGATCTGCTGTTGGTGATAAACAACTTTGTAAAGTCCTTTGTAAAGTCCTGCTGTAGTGATTTAGGGCTATACACAAATAAATTGAATTGAATCTCTAAGAAAATGTCCTTGTGAGGCATCACTAGAGCTGCAAATCCCATATATTCGGTGAGCTAAAAGATAACCAATGGATTCATCAAAAGAATAATCAGCCAACCAATCCATAATTGTTCATTACAGCACTACAAATCACAGCAGATGATGATGACGACTTGCACTTAAGAGTGCTTTACACTCCACACTTGGTGACAGAAGCGACGAAGTCGGCCTCACCAAACAACACCACCACCGGCACCAGCACCAGTAAATAGTGAAGATACAATCCTTCACTTGAATGCACTGTCTCACATTTTCAGGAATACTGGTCCAGACTTAGGCTGCATACAATAATAAAAAATACTGTAATAATGGTACTGTAATGGTGCTGCCATTATCTTGAGTAGGTCTTTATTATGATGTAATAGATGTGTTTAGTGTTTAATGGCTGATATGAGCCCAGAATGTCTTATGCAGTAGTCTGTTATTACTACAGGATCAAACGCTATAGTTAAAAACACAAAAGGACAATTTTTTTTAAATAAGATAGCAGTTTTAAACAGAAAAAAAAAATAGCTTTCTGCAGCTCCTTCACTGGATGCATTCACATTCTACCCCTTTAATAGTGGGAATCAGAGATGCCACCCAATGCTCATAGCACCAGACCCTCACTGATCCTCCTGCAGGGGGTGAGTCCACAAGAAGATGGCAGCTGCTCCGTCAGCTGTGACACAGCCTTGTTCTTCAACAGGGGCTTCGGGCAACGTGTCCCAAGGACACAAAGACTACAGACATGAGTGGGAGCAGCTGTAGTAGGTTTTGTGGTGGGATCCAACTCACAACCTTCAGGCCCAAAGGCCAATGCTAACTGAGCCACTGTCTCCCCCTTCACTCGTATCGATTCATAAGGATATGGGAACCATAGTACCGGGATCCATATCGGACTTGGATATTGTCCAGATGTTGATGTCCACGCCGGAATTTCCGCTGGAAGATTTTATCCAAGCTGATGTTTAATTGGGGAGTGGGGAACCGGAGCGCCCAGAGGAAACCCACCCAGACATGGGGAGAAATAGGTAAAAGCTACACAGAATTACCAGGGGCGAAAAGGGAATTGAACCCACAACTAGCTGTGTATTTTTCCTATTGTACCTTAGGCAGAATGATATTTAAGAGTCAGAACTTTTATTATTCAAAATTGGTGGATTAATTTGTAAGGTTGCAATTTGTCCACGTGTCTAGTGTAATTATTATGTGTATAAATGTGACCAAATCTGATCATTTTGTGGAGCTTGTCAACATTAAGGAGTAAACACGAATCTGGACAGAAAAACAAAGCAGTTTCCAATATGACTGTCATTTCTATATATATTAGCCGGCTTGCGAATGTCAACATAGCATCTCTGCAATGTCTTTTTGGCACAACAGAACATATGGGATGGGTGTAGTAGCTTCTTGGGTTAGGCCACATCTTCTGAACTATAAAGAAGATGCAGACTTTGCATATTGGGTCAAATGCAGCGAGTGTGTCTGTGTGGGCGATGATAAGATTTAACATGTGTCTGGTTTTGCCTGGGACGTCAAATCAAGAGGCTAGCTTCGACTTTGTAAATATGGGCCTCTGCTGAGCTAGCTTAGCATAACCCAACCTCACCACAACAACCGCTTACACCTTTCAAACACAGCCATGTCACCTCGGTGCAATGTGGATTTTAAACACATGAAAACCAGTACAAACAGCTGACACGCTCAATTTAATAAAAACTAAATCAGGCGCTTAGATATTGCATAGTGTATTAGCATGTCGGAGCTAAAGCTGAAGCTAAATGCTAACCGATGCTAGCTCACCTTCTACCACGACAGCTTTGGGAGACATGCTGGTATTTCTCAATTAAAACGGGTTTATATAAACGAATAATTGCACATGCGTAAAGCTTTTCTATCAATATAATATTACGATATGTTTGTTGTTACTTAGAAGGGTAAAAAACGCCAGAAATTACCAATATTTGAGAGGCTGGTGTCCCCACTCCCCACTGCTGCTGCTGTCGCTGTTGACACTTCTTCCATTCACAAAACCTCGCGATCTCTGCTTCAGATTCACCCCGTAACTTGAGGTGACGACAAAATACTACTGCTGCAATAATTTATTCACTCAACTCTCTGAATATATTAAACCACAAGGCAAGCCGGGACAATTTAACAAAATATGACATTAAGCGCGCTTGAATGAACGCCAAGTAGTGTACAATAATCCTCTGTCAATTACGTAAGGTCGAATATGTTTACGCTGGGAGCTGGGACCGTATGGACACTCGGCTCAAATGAGTGTCAGAATGTGTGCTCACTTATTCATAGGTTATGAAATTTAGATTGTTTTTGTGTAGGATGTGTAAACATTTTAAAAAGGTTTTCTTCTTTGATTATAAACTAATGTGGTTTCTCACTGCTTTCTCTTTAAGTAATTCCTTGCCATTTATGAACTGTGGTCATCCCACTTCCTATGGACAGCTTTGCAATGTCCTCCAAGACGACCGCTGTTATGATTTAGGGCTATACAAAACATAATTTAAAAAACTTTATATTGAAAAGCTATAATGACACAAGACAAAATGTATACACACAAACATTTACTTTATTAAAAAGCATCCACACATGCGCAACCAATCTAGTCATGCCAAAAATAACAAAAATTGATCAAAAATAACGCATTACAGGTGAAAACGCCAAAGGCACTGATTTAATTTGAGGCAGAATTTCTCACACGAGCTGCAACCAATCATTGCTTTGATTGAACAACGTTTTTTAAATACATTTTGAAACATTGTGACTGAAGGCTTAAGGACAAATAAAACAAAAAAATAAATTTGATTTCATAACACCGCCATTTTTGTCTTAAGATTTAGAATTGGCATGTCTGTATAATCTTCACACGACCATAGTAAATCGCAGTCCTACCATAGGCTACACAGTAAAAATAATTAAACGTAAAAACAAGCTATATGCAAACATTTAGAGTAATATGTATTGAAACAACGCTACGGAAAATCCAGTGATCTCCAAGTCACACGACATCATCAAATACAAGTGAATTTCTATGACTTAGTATGATTTAAGTGCATTGTAATGAACTAAGATCAACATGCCCCGAAGCTAAATTCAATTTATCAACATATGCGTATGTACTACGGCAGACTCCATAGTGATGAGTGAAAGCATTGACTTAAACATAATTTACAAAAGCTTAAATAAGACATGATAATGTGCTGTCTGCTGTGAATATGAGGATCTATGACACCAGTGGATCAGTTTTACACATTTATAGACAACTGAAATCTCAATCCTGAGCTAAAACCATGAGTGTATCCCTCTGCCCTCTTTACGCAGCATCAGCAGAAACACGGTCACGCGAGAGGTCCTGCAGGCTCAGCTCAAACCACAGATTAAGTCAGTGGAATTTTCCTGCCAGCAATAACACTTGAGCCTTGAGCGACGCTGCCTAATCGTCCGCGTATCACCGGTTCGGCGAGGGACGCAAAACCGTGGGGGTGTCGCGATAGTGAGAGGAGCTCATAAATGATTCAAACATGCACCGAAAACAACCATAAATGTGTGTGTAAATGACAACATGGTTCAAATCTGTCAAAAGTCCATTTCGCATGTTATTTCTCCTATAATAAACTATGTACGCACTACATTACGAGTCCATAAACCAGTGAGTAAAATCATTTCTGACTTTGACATAATTTACAAGCGCAAAGACGAGAACAAAACCAACTACATGAAATCCAATAGCCTTGTATTACCACAAAACGTGATTGCTAAAAAAAATCACTTAATCTCTGAATAAAGCTCCAGTCAAAACTCTACATACGCTACAGATGTAACTAGTAAAATACTCTAGTACAACTCTATAGTATTGCGCTCCTAATTGATCACAAAATGAACACACAAAAAAAAAACTATTTGATAATTATATTTATCAACAAGAAATAACTCTAGAAATTCTACACAACTCTGTTCATTTAGACTCAATTCTAAAGCAAATTTCTATACCAACATAAGTCTGTCTATATTCTTCAAATTTCTATACCAACTTTTACTATAGAAAGCCTCATGATTTCAGTAGACTTGGGATGCTTCAACATCCCAAATAAATTCACACTACTTTCATACGCTCTGATCCAAATATATAATGGACAAATGGGCCATTATTCTATACATGGGAACAGCCATTTGGAAGCAAGCTGCCCACAATGAAAATATATCTCAATTATTTACAAATTATGTACACAATTTTACACAAGGCCATCCACAGATTCCATTCTCTCGAGTCTTATTTTGCGGACGGAGGGATGTTCTGCTCCTTCCCGCTGCGCTTGATCCCTCGCTGGGCGTACGTGGACTTGCTGAAGTTCCTGGGTCGGTCGCGGCCTTTGGGTCCGGGCCGGTCTGAGTCCTGCGGGCCTCTGAAGGGGCGCGTGTGCTGCTGGTTTCGGGGCTTCTCTGTGTTCTGCTTGTTGACGTGGTTGTGGCCGCGGGGCTCCTGGACGCGGTTCACTTTGAGTTCTTGGAGCGGCTGCGCAGACTCTGGGGCGGACGTGGGGGAGGGCGTGGACGGCTGTGCGGGCGGAGGAGGCTCTTTGGCGAGTCTCTGGCAAACTTCAGCGTAGCTCAGCTTTTTAGGCTCCTGAGGAAGAGAGATAAGTGTGAGAAATGACTTTGCAATATCTTTGATGATCTTTTGACTTAAAAATAAAATAAATTGCCTACATTTGGCTAGTATAGTTACTATAGTTGCTATACTCAATATTCACTTATTTTGGATGTCCTGCTTACTATAAATTAATGGCTCCTATGTGTTTAGTAATATTGCACTGAGAGTTCTAACCGTTGATTCCCTGATCAGTTGTTGAGGAATCGACAACTTTGTAAAGTTTTAAAAGACTGCTGTTGTGCTTTAGGGCTATATAGAAACAAAGAACGTTGAAAATTGTGAACAACCTGCGGTGGTTCATCCATAGAAAGTGATTAGAGCTAAACTCAAAGAGGATACATGGGCAGGAATCAGGAGCCAAATACTTGGATAGCAACAACCTAGCAACCAAAAAGCCAATCAGGAACGATTCTGGTCTTTTTCCGCTTGTGCAATTCCCTTTCTGAAGTAAAATTCAGGGAATGAATGTGCCAGACACTGTGGTAATAAACTACAACTTTAGCCACAGCTATCCTGGGGCAGACTGACAGAAGTGAAGCAACCAGTCTGTGCCATCACCAACCATTCACACACACCAGACTTGCCTAAAGACCCTGCAACAGTTTGACACTTTACAGCTGCCCCACTGGATCACCTGGTGTTCCCAAAGCTGTCCCGTCACAGTACTAACCCGGCCCCGTCCTGCTAAGCTTCAGCGATATGACGGGAGCGGGCTTACACATGCAGCTGGTACAAATTCTGTAGTTTAGTTCTACTGGACTACACTTACTGCATAATCAAGAACATGTCTCATTTTACGGACCGCTAATCACCTTTACACTAATACATAAACAAATCCAGGCCATCACAATACCTCTCCCCCATAGCCAGGGATGCAATTCAAAATGTATAATCATTTGTTTTGCTGCAATTGCTGACCACGTCAAGCAACACAAAATTATTATTTTTTGGACAAACACGCATGTCCTTGTACTTTCACGCGCACTCAGGCTAAATGCACTCACTGGTTCTGTGGTGGGAGAGGGTGTGCTGAGGACCGAGTTGCTGGTTGTGGCCGGAGTTTCCTCTGAAAGTGTGATCTCCTCTGAACTTCCAAATGAAACCGGCAAATCCACTTCAAGAACGTCTTGTTTACTCGACTCAGAGAAACTGCTGCTGCAAAAGAACACAGTGAGTTTCTGCCCGTGACATTGGATTATTGTTATGTGTGTAATTTGTGTAGTTACCATGAGGTCTCTGGTTCCACTGCGGCTGGAGGTTGCACTGAAGGAGGATCCGGTGTGATGTGGACCTCCTCTAGTCGTTCTGCTGGTTTCATTTCTTTAGGTTCTTTTCTTTCCTTCATTTCGTGGCTCTCAGTCTGCAAGAAAAAAGAGATACCAGCCTTTAGCAAACGTCAATTAAAATGTCAGTAACTTCTAGCACAAATGGAGCCTGGCCTGGCCAGATGTTATATTTCACTGCATATAACATCTGGGTCTGGTCCCTGTGTTTGCGATTACAATCGGTTGAATTCCATCCGACCAATTAGCAAGTGTTGTAGTTAGTTGTGGGTTTGCGCCGAACAGGCTGGTTGTAGTTTGGCAATGGCGAAGAATGAGATAGTAAAGTATTTCGGTCTGGTTCTATCAAGAAATTGAAGCCAGAGCCAGAGGAATGTTTAGCAAACGTAATCGCTGGCAAAGATTGTGCCGCTACTCCCCACGGGCTCCGTTAGTGGCAAAGGAGATGGCTAGGATAAATGCTAAATGCTAACAACTCACTCGGGTGCATTACATACAGTGCCTTGCAAAAGTATTCATCCCCATTGGCTTTTTATCTATGTAACATTACAGCCTTTAGTTCAATGTTTTTTTAATCTGAATTTCATGTGATGGATCATAAAGCAATAGTCAAAACTCTCCAAACAAGTAAGGGACAGTGTTGTTGAGATGTACAAGTCAGGGTTAGGTTATAAAAAAAGATCCAAATCTTTGTTGATCCCCAGGAACACCATCAAATCTATCATAACCAAATGGAAAGAACATGGCACAACAGCAAACCTGCCAAGAGACGGCCGCCCACCAAAACTCACTGACCGGGCAACGAGGGCATTAATCAGAGAGGCAGCACAGAGACCTAAGGTAACCCTGGAGGAGCTGCAGAGTTCCACAGCAGAGACTGGAGCCGTACGCTCCATAGAGTTGGGCTTTATGGCAGAGTGGCCAGAAGAAAACCATTACTTTCAGCAAAAAACAAAATGGCACGTTTTGAGTTTGCGAAAAGACATGTGGGAGACTCCCAAAATGTATGGAGGAAGGCGCTCTGGTCTGATGAGACTAAAATTGAACTTTTCGGCCATCAAGGAAAACGCTATGTCTGGCGCAAACCCAACACATCACCCAAAGAACACAGCATCATGCTGTGGGGATGTTTTTCAGCAGCCGGGATTGGGAAACTGGTCAGAGTTGAGGGGAAAATGGATGTTGCTAAATACAGGGATATTCTTGAGCAAAACCTGTGCCACTGTGCGTGATTTGAGGCTAGGACGGAGGTTCACCTTCCAGCAGGACAATGACCTCAAACACACTGCTAAAGCAACACTTCAGTGGTTTAAGGGGAAACATGTTAATGTGTTGGAATGGCCTAGTCAAAAGATTACTGTTCACAAGCGCAAACCATCCAACTTGAAGGAGCTGGAGCAGTTGTGCAAGGAGGAATGGGCAAACATTCCAGTGGTAAGATGTGGCAAGCTCATAGAGACTTATCCAAAGCGACTTGGAGCGGTGATTGCCGCAAAAAAGGTGGCTCTACAAAGTATTTGTAGAGCCAAATAAAGTATTTGGCTTTATTTAAGTATTTAAATTTAAATTTATTCTTTAGAAGTGTTTTTTATTCTTATTATCTCTTTTTGACTGTTGCACTGAGCCAAAGCAATTTCCTAGTCTGTGACCTCCTGTTACTTACGTGGAAATAAAAATGATTCTGATTCTGATTATTGACTTTAGGGGGTTGAATAGTAATGCACATTGATCTTTTGTTATTTTTTGTTTGCTTCACAATAAAAAATCTTCAAAGTTGTGGGCATGTTCTGTAAATTAACTGATGCAAATCCTCAAACAAACCATGTTAATTCCAGGTTGTGAGGCAACAAAACACACAAAATGCCAAGGCTGGGTGAATACTTATGCAAGGCACTGTATGTCACGGTAAACTCAGATCCAATCATTTCAATGCAAAAGTAGTTAACCCCTCCCACCTGTTAACAGAGCTCAATGGAGCAGCTCCAGACCTTACTATGAAATGTACTTTGAACTATGGTGTAAGTAATGTAAGTAATGTTTATTTATATACCGCCTTTCACAGACAAGGGTCACAAAGCGGTTTACAATTGTTATTTTTTTTGGGCACTTGTCTCACTCCACACAGAGATGGGAGAGGGGTCGCCGAACAGGAGGCGCATGCCAGACCTATTGTACATATTTTTAGTGGTAGGGGAAACCGGAGTACCCGGAGGAAACCTACGCAGACACGGGGAGAACATGCAAACTCCTCTCAGAAAGGCCCTGGTCCGACCGGGATTCGAACTCAGGACCTTCTTGCTGAGAGGCGAGAGTGCTATCCACTCAGCCACCGTGCGGTGTGGTACGACCAGGCTAGCACAAATAGTTAACTTCACCTCTTCTGTCTAAAGGCCTGTCTCAGTCCTGAAATAGTATGATGTCATTGTACCAAAATGACATCACACATTGAGCAGTTTTCTACATTTGAAAAAATAAACGTAAGTATTGCCCATAAGTTTTCTGATTTTTTTCTGGTGATTTCCATACTATCACATCCGTTTTGGTCATTTTTTAAATTGGAAACATAACAGAACTAATTGTACACCTCACTCTGGTGGTTGCAATGAGACTAGAGAGCGACAGGCAGCCAGCTCCAGTCTCAGTCCTGTAATAGTATGGTATCACTGTACCACTAAGACATTGTACTATAGTAGATTTTCTGTTTTTAAGACAAAATTATCAGCAATATCCATCCATCCATTTTATTCCCCTTAATCCATTTCTGGGTCGAGGGGGTGGCAGTCAGAGCTGCACCCAGTACCCATAGCACCAGCCCCTCACTGATCCTCCTGCAGGTGGTGAGTCCACAGGAGCTGAGATCTTTCAGCGGGGGCTTCGAGCAAAGTGGGGTTAAGTGTCTTGCCCAAGGACACAACGACAGCAGTCATCAGTGAGAGTCGTGAAGGTCTTATGGTGGGCTCGAACCCAAACTTCAGTCTCAATGATGCTGTACCAACTGAGCCACTATTGCCATTATCAGCAATATCCCATGCAAAATTATGTTCTTCAGCGGGTAACTTCCAAATTCAAATTCTACTTCTCCATCTGGTGGCAGCATAGAGTTACAGGTTTAAACCATTTTTAACCCTTCATACTTGTCTCACCATATATTTTCTAATAAAGTTCTACAAGATATTTCACATCCTAAAATCATGAACTGACAAGGTGAATAAGTCTCATTATCCTCCAAATAAGGCTTAATATTTCCGCTCTCAAAACACAGCAGTGACAATCACCTTGTCCGACACCTTGAGGCCTCGCACCACGTCGGCCATGCACACGTCCAGAGCAGCTTCCTCCTTCGCCGTCGCCACGCTCCCGGGGAGAGGGGGGAAGTTGCAGGCGGCCAGATCGAAGTTCAGAACGGGCGCCAGCACCTCTGCAGCGGGCTTCTGGAACAGCAGCGGAACACAGGGTTTATATACAGTCAAAGATTCACAAAGACTGTTAAAAGGAGCTATACCCGTTTCTGCAAGGTTTGAATGTTTAGCACCGCCCCTCTACTCGCTTACTTCTTGTAAGCTGTACAACAATCACTGATGAAATGGTACAAGAGCAACGCACTGCTAACAAATTATATAATTGAAAGATTACTGCTAGTTTTGTGTCCGAATGTAGTCCGAGGCGGTCTGCACCTGCAGGTCTCGACTGTAATCTCTCCAGAGGATACGATGTAAGCTAGCTATGTTCACTCGGGCTTGATTTATTCTTTGATCATTTTTTCGTTTTAGTTCCCTCTTCCTCACTGTTGTGTCGTTTGGGCTGTTTTGCTGTGTATGCAGTTACAGTAAGAAGAGTTATAGCCACTTTCTGCCAACATGCTACCTTGTTTACCAGCGCTGTAGAGGCTCGAGGACGCAGCCTCGTTCTGTGAGTGGAAGAGAACGAGCGTCACGTTAAGTAGGGCCCTGCACTTGAGCCCTTGGCCCGACAGCCTGACGACCGGGCTTTCGGCCACTGAATATAGCGTTCTATCACGCTGTAGTATTTGTTGTTCTGTACAGTATTGTCATTGACGACACTTTGCGTTACCGTCAAGTGTGTTGAAGTTTATTGCACCATCTGGGTATCATACAGCTGCGGTCGTTCACTCGTACACACAGAACTCATTGCAACAAATCACTACCATGTATAACTCCGCCCTCTCGCCGGACCCGTGTTCCAATCAGTGCGAGGCACTATATACGACGCCAAAACATCGTTACGGGAGGTTAGAAAAAAAAGGTTGGGCTTGATACAGGTTTTGGGTCGGAGAATTCAGAAACCATGTTGGGCCAGGGCCGGGCTCGGGCCCAGATAATAGGCCCGTGCAGGGCTCTAACGCCAAGTCTCTTCTCAGCACTTTTATACGGCCTGAATTCATACACAAGCTGAATCAATGAGCTCAAGTTTTCAATTAAATTACGGATTGTAATATAACTTGTATGTAGTAATGAGCATTTTTCTGAACTCATTAGAAAAAATAAGGTTAAAAAAAAGTTTGACAAGATCAAAACTGCACTTACGGCATTCAGCTCATCTTCCCTTTTCCTCCTCATTCCTCTGTGGTTCGGTCTCCTGCAACAGAACACGAGAAAATAAGAAAAAATTATGTGTGAGATTATTATATAATATATAATTATATATATATATAATTTTAGCCCCCAAAAGGAAAATGCATAGCATTTTTTTGTAAATACGTTTTTGTAGATTTAAAGCCTCTGTACCCAACTTTTGTTTTTGTAATGAATAATGCATGTTACAGAAAGACCATGGAGTGGTCTAAATTGTTCACAGCATTGATTATTTATGAGAGTTTCTTACTAGAAAATGTTATCTTTTGTAAGAAAGAGCCCCGAGTCACTATTTGACACTTAGGGGTGATAGCTGATTCTCCCATTGTCAAATAGTTAGATATTTGTATTCAGACAAAGTGAAAGGCCAAAAAAATACTTGAATTTGAAAACCAGTGATAGAACTAAGCTCCTTGAGAGGATATATAACATAGATGGATAGTGGCGGTGCAACGGTTTGAAAAAAAAAAAAAATCACGGTACGGTTCGTACCTCAGTTCAGAGGCCACAGTTCGGTCAATAAAAAAAAAAAAAAAATTCCGTTTTGTCTTTTTAATAAAAACAGCTCATGTGGACTCGGCACCTGCTCTGACTGCTCCCCCCTAACCTAGAAATGAATTAAGGGGAAGAAAATGGATGGATGGAAGGCATATTCCATCCATCCATTCATGTCTTTTTAACATAATCAGTGAAAAACAACACAAAGTGCAACATAAGAAGGCACTTTATGAGGGTATTTACCCTCATACATTAAAGCTGCACTAACTGACTTTATTTTCGTATTCATTACGAAAATGCTATCCATGTCCATGTAGTGCATTGGGATATACGTCCTTTTGAAGAATAATTAGCGCAGATTTGTGCTGGCGTGACATTATATTTTAGATCGAGTTTTGATGAAACAAGAGAATGTGTTTCGGGTCGCAGATTGTGATCATTCACAACGGACCACTGGCCCCCACTTTCGTGAGAAATCTACAGGTCCGTTAGCATAGACAGCTGAGTTAGCACAACAAGCGGCGGAGCTAATACCTGAAGCTTCGTGTCTTCATCACCGGTTACTGCTTACACAGCGAAACAGCCATCCAAAAGAAAGTCCCGTTCCTCCGCGCTTCCCGGTTCTATCGTTTTATGGTCACGCCATCCACGTGCAAATCCATATCCATGTATTATCCATATTGGGAGACACTAGCTCCGTCCCAACAGTGAGTGTGTGTGGGGGGCAATAGCTTCGTGGGTGCGGGGAGGGGAGCAGAAAGAGAGAGGCCAGCGAGTTCAACGGCTTCAAAATCCCAAAGTCAGTTAGTGCAGCTTTAAACCACCTTCCTGATTCTCCCAAGGAGGCGGTCCATTCTGGGCCCAGTCCAGCCTCATTCACTGCATTTATTTAATTTTTGGCATTATCAGTTGTGACTGGAATATTAGTACTGGGCCTTTGTCTTCCATTCCTCCGCTGCTTGTGACAGTACCTGTGCTGTTTGTCAGTACCTGCGCTGTGTGACAGTACCTGTGCTGTGTGCCTATGTGACTTTCGTAGAGGGGGCGTGTCTGCAGCGCCAGACTTTTCATCTCCCAGTCTGCTGTGATGAAGTTCTCCGTTCCGCTCATGGATCTATCAGATTCCGCGGGACGTCCTAGAGTCACTCGTGAGCGCAGCTGAGGATGCGCGGGAGAGTTGACTTTAGCCCGGTGTGCGTAAAGGAGCTGCTTAAATGCCGCGGCAATAAGCGGTCGTTGAGACGCTTCTTTTCACTCATGTGAAATGTCTTTTGCCACAGTATTTACACACTGACAGTTTTGTCAAATATTAATTATCAGTAAAGTTACAGTGAAGACAAAATGCTCTTATACTGGGCTTTCAAACTCCTCCGTTCCTCTGCTCGCCGTGACCACGCTGTGTGTGGACTAAAACAACGTGCGCACAACTTTTTTTTCATAAATAAAACCACGGATCACGTCTGTACCGAACCGAAGACGTTGAACCGAAGACGTTGAACCGAACGGATCATTGATTAACCGTTGCACCTCTAATGGATAGATTATAATATAGCCATCTATCAGACAACAGTAGTCCATATATCTATATATTGTGATTTTGTGCTGTACAAAAACATCGATTTACTTGATACCTGAGGCGTGGGTCAGCGGTGTGCATTGGGGGCAGTACGGTGCAGTCCTTGTGCTGGAAGGCCGTGGGGGACAGAGGCTCCAAAGAGGGCTGGACTGGAGCTCCAGAGACCTGAGGAGGTATAGCCACATCCACCAGCCCCGCGGAGCCCAGAGCGTCGTGAGCCCTGTAGCCTTGGTTTCTGCAAAAACAACCAGAGCGCAGGTTTGAGAATGTGTAAAATACATGATGAAACAAGTATGAAAGGTAAACAATAATTTCTGCCTGCAACTACCAAGGAGAGATGAGTTAAAAAGGGAGAGAAGGACAGAGGTGGTGGGAGAAAGGTGAGGACAGAGAGAGAGAGAGAGAGGAAGGAATGTAATTTAACTTGAGAAATTGCAAAAAAAGGGCAATGCTTTTGAAAGGCAAAAAACTTCAGAGTGTGATGTCATAGTGGTACAGTGACATAGCATTACAGGATGGAGACAGGAGCTTTTAGACAGAAAGGTCAGAGCTACATGTTTGTGCCAGAAATTCTTCATTAGCATGGACGGAGCTAAAAACAACTCCTGGGGCCGTATTCCTAAAGATTCTTAATGCTAAAAGTTGCTCCTAGTGGCCAAATTCTAAGAATTTTCTTAGAATCTTGACCAACTCTTAGAATTTCCCCTAAAAGTGAGGAGTAGCTCCTAGTTAAGATAAAAGCTATTCCTAAAAAATCCTAGCTCTTAAGGGATCTCCCCTTAAGAGCACTCTTAACACTAGGAGCGCCCCTAGCGGTCAACTGACCGTCACTCACTTTAATATGCTAATTAGTGTATTCAAAACAAAACGCCAGAAGTTGAAATTTTATGACTTTTACTGGGTACTTGTTTATATTTTGGTGTGTTTTGTTTTTGGAAAAAGTAAAGAAAACAAGATTTACACGCATTTTAACTTTTCTAAACCACAGCCCTTTCTGCTGCCCCATAGGGATACATGGCGCAGGGGCGACTGTTGTCATAGTAACCTTTCCCGGGGGTTTTTCGCGCCTTATACAAATGTATCAATATGTTGTCATTAGACTCTAAAGGGACTTGAGGTTTTTATTTGGGAGAGAAAGAGTTTTGAATTGAGAGGAGTACAACATAAATAGAGCTGCAAGTACACGGTATGAAGCCCAGACAGTGCTTCAAGACATTGAATGAGAACAGTCTGACGGAGGTGAGATGTCACAGCGGGGAGAACACCTATAATATTCTAAATCTGAACGTAAACCCGTAGTGCATTCACGGCACGGACAGCAGTGTTGGAACAAGTCCAGAAGCAATAACGCACATGACCCGCGTAATGCCAGCCATACGCAGGTGTCTGTGTGCGCGCTGTTGCTCCATTCTACCTTTTCATTCATCATCAATTACATTCTTATATTTATACATAGAAGAAGGCAATAAAGCAGAATACAATATCGCAATAAAATAGAACAATTAGATGAACTATCAAGGCAGAGTGCAGATAGAGCGCTGTGAGGCCTCTCGTCACCCGCGGACACCTGCAGGAGGAGAGCGACTGTGGGTCAGAAGCGGCCCTCATCATATCAATAAGGATATCTTTCTTATTTCATTCAGATAACATTGTGTGTTATTCTGCACAGTGCGCACTGCAAGGCAATGATTATAATTTTCTTCTGATCATAAAGAGCACTGCTTGTCTCAAATAAATACAAATATATATATATAACGTGTCCCGTGTAAAATTGAAGATTGTACATTGACGATGGTAGCCTAGCTGATGATCTTGTGTCAATACGAATACTATTATTATTATCTAGATAATATTTCCCACAGTGATTTCGGCTGGAAAGAGAAAACAGTCTGGAGATGACGTAAGAAGCAGACGCATACAGCAGCGTGAAGACGTTATGGTCCCGTGCTTTTCTAAACTATCATTTATATTGTTTGAATTGACATATTGTTACTGAGTCAAATTTAACATATAGTGACCGACCTTTTACGTGTTTGCAAAGTTACAAAATAAATCTAGCCAGAAAAGTCTTCGTAATTTTTTTTTATTTCGGCTGGAATTACAATTACTTAGCATATTTAGACAAATAATTTACACAGTTTCATTATGATCACGATTTCCTTGCAACAACAAATTCTGGTTTAGTGAACAATCAATTTGGCAAAAGGCTGTATCAGCGCAAAATACATAGCGGTCAACTGACCGCAGGGGGCGGTGCAAGGTATGTTTAGAGCACGGCGGTCCTAGTGTTAAGAGTTGAGAGGAGGACTTTTAGCGACTTAAAAGTTCCCTAAGAGCACAAAATGGTGGACGGTGGAGACAGGAGAAATATTCTATACACTGGATGACAGTGAATCAGTGAAACGCTACAGATTCAAGCAGGAATCATGTTTGTGGTATATTTAAAAGTCAATCATGTGACCAGCTTCTCATTGGCTGGTCAGCAATAACACCTCATCCATTTTACCCTTGTTACACAAAAGTAAGTAGAAATGGTAAAAGTTGAAAGAGAGGAAAAAGTGGTCCTAAATTGTCACACATTCAGTACGAATGAATGAATACTTTATTTTGAGCCATGGCAAACAAAAAAAAGGACAAAACAAACAAAACAATAACAGAATAGAAGTACAAATATACAGTTTTGTTTTATTAACAACAATCCAGCTCAAAAAGGAGTGGGAGAGGATAAGACTTTTAAGCTCCCTTGTACTTGATTTGTACAGTGTATGTATAATATGTTTATATTAATATTGTTTCCTTAATTCCTTATAAGTCTATACATATCACAGCCTTTACTAATCCTAACGTTATCATTATCATCATTTATCCATATAATATTTATAATAATAATTTTCTTTATCATGTATATTATATATAGAGTAATATATATATATATATATATATATATATATATATATATATAAAATTATAAGTGCTCATGATCTATACGTATTATGTGTGATAAATTGGTGCTGAGCAAGCTCTGATGTGGTGTATAAGTCTAACTTTACTATTCACAGTATTTATGTACCATTGATATATCTGACTTTATAGCTTTTGGTTATTATTTACAATAACACAGTGTTCCTAAGATTAGATTCCATGATTGAGTTTGTCCATTTTAGGGCCCTTATTTTGCCTATTATCATCAAAAATATGTTTGTTCTAACTTTTAGGATCAACCAATCACAGCGTCTGAAATGATGACTCATACCTAGCAACGGGGTCGGCCACGCCTCCTCACTAAGATAAAAGTTGTTGTCAATTCCTTGCTCAGAGTTCTCTAAGAGTGTTCTGGAATAACTTTCAAGCTAAGACTCCTAGCTAGGAGTTTTTAGGTTAAGATAAGAGCTCTCTGAGAGGACTCTCAGAATCTTTAGGAATACGGCCCCTGGTCTGTTACTGATGCAGGAACAATGTTGGGTCTTAAACTTTACATTAGGGTTTGCATACGTCTCCATCATACATTTCTATGCATGGATTGTGTAAGTGTTTAAATTGTTAATATTTAAACTGTGGCTGAACACAGACAGTGTTGCACAACTGTTCAGTGGAGGAAAAGCCTTTTAAGATGGCGACTTTGTACTAAACAAGTCTAGACCACAAACCAGAAGATAATCAATCATTACCTGCTCTAAAGGCTCATTTTCAGTCTTCAGGACAAAGCTTTAATTTAGAGGATAGAAATACGAGGGCGTTTCCCAGTTTACAACAATAAACAATTATGTTTTTTTTTTTTTTTTTTTTTAAGTAATCCTGGAAGCTCTCCCTGAACTTGTAAAACAGTCTTAAAAGTTTAATTAGCTGTGCATAAGACCAATCTTTGACGTATTTATGTTTTTTTATATTGTTTTAAAATTCAATTATGCATTATTACTTTGTTTTATTTTCCATTTTCAATTAACATGCATTAGCTTGTTAATCACGTGTATGAAATGTGTGTAATAAATAAATTTGATTCTCGTGGTTAAGGCCAGAACTGTAGGATTTTTGTCTTCAGTACGCGGTTTGAGTGGTAGCACAGACGCATAGACAGGGAGAACATGCAAACTGAGAACAAAGTGTTAAATTTTGGCGGTAAACCGGAACAGCGCCCGGATCCAGAAAAGGAATTGCAGTCTGTGCTCTACAAGTGCTTTGTCAGGTCTGAAGTAGAACATTAGAAAAAGGAAAAAAAAGGGACCAATAGAGAGACAAGTTTAAACACAGACCTGCTTCTAGGACGGTGGCCGCTCACAGACAGAGAGTTTCCTTTGTAGTTGCCATTCCTGTAACCGTTCATGAAGCCACTGTTCTGAAACGGGGCCTGCCAGACAGAGACAAGGAATGGTTAAAACCTACAACTGTGGCGATAGAATTATGATGATATTCAGATTTGGGATGTGGCTGTGAAAGACAGTGACATTTGATGCTGGTCTTGGTCCCAGTCTGACTGCTAAGTATCTAATTTATGATCATTTGAGATTGATTTTGGCCCTAAAAACAATATATCGGGGACCCAGGAGGACCAGTTGCTTTGACTTCAGCTAATGGGATCCATAGAAATCTGGGGGAAAAAGGTCAGTATTTTTAAATAATCAGAATTAAGTATTTTTTTTCTATTATTAAATAGAGTTTGAAGTGTAGTATTGTGGCAACACTAATCCAACTGAAGGAATGCAGAGGGAGGACAAGAATAGAATTTGGGGAATGTACATTGATGACATAGTGTGAGGATTAATTATAGTGTCATGAATTTGAAAACATTTTAGACAGACAGACACAAACATATGGCCTGATGTGTTAATAATCCATAAAAACACCTAGGGGAGTATAAAGCAACTTTTTGATAAGTTAATTTCATTCAAAAGTGTGGGCTTTACATAAACAGCAGATTAAATATGTTTTGGAACCTGCTACACCTAAAACTTATCTTGCAAAGAACATTTCCAGACAATAAATATTGAGGCACGAAATGCATAGTTTTATCCATCACTTTTGAAACGATAAGTCAAAATTGTTATTCTATATGGATATATTGTATCGAATTGAAAGCCTGCAGTTTTGAGATGACCCTGAAAGACAGCCAGCCAGAGTCGGTGCTCACCAGTGGGGTCTCAAAGTAGGGCACTGGGGTGGGGCTCCATGACGGGGAGACCACGGGGTACACAGGGTACTGCTGCTGAGGAGGGCTGTAGACCTGCTGCATGTCGATGAAGACCGGACTCCCAAAGGACTGGGGACTGGCGCTCTGAGGCTGCGAGAACACGCTGGAGTCCAGACCGGCGAAGCTGCTCTTACCAAAGAACGTGTTGATGGCTTTGATGCGAGCCTGGAACAGACACAGGTTTGATGTGAGTAAAATGTGCACGGAGACTTCTGATGGTGATGATAAAGCTGGGGGATGTAACTTTGTGAACAAATCAGACCCCAACATGCGGTCTTCGTCTTATTACAAAAAAATTAACCTTGTGAGTCACTATTTGACGCTTTGGGCTGAGAGATGATTGGCTGAGTGAGGGTGGTCTGCAATGCTAAAAAGACATGACAGACCAGGCAATACATGTGTGTAAAAACTAGTGATAGAAGAAAACTGTTTTGAGAACAGCTTTAAGTCGAGAGAAGAAGGTTGTAACATGATTTAGATATAATGTGTTCTTGAAAGTGTTTTAATGGTCCCCTCAGATCTCATAATCTCATGGTCATTAGGCCATAAAACATTGTACTGACAAGAGAGGGGGAGAGGAGAGAGGGAAGGAGGAGGAGAGAGAGCAAGAGGAGGATAGGACTAGAGAGAGAGCGAGAGGAGGACTGTGGAGAGAGAGAGAGAGAGAGAGAAGCAAGGATGAGGGTAGACAGAGTTGAAGATGAGAAGTTGAGAACAGCTCCTCTCTGCCAGACACAGTGCCCCTGGGTCCTTCCAAGCGCGATACTGATCATCACCGGGGGAAGAAGACTATCTGGTGAGACTTTTGGTTTCGGCGAATACAAGTGGAAATTAGAATCAACACGCAACTGTGCAACTCTTATTTTTGGCAAATAAATGATTGTTCGTAATGTCTCTGTAAAAATTAAAAAAAATCCTTTCAGTACCATACAGTTATACCGGCTGTCAGAATACATGGCTTTTGACCAATGTGTTGAAAATTGCGAAAAGTAACAAAACCGAGTGTCTGCATTCGTTTTGACAGTTTCCCAATTTTAAACTCCAGCGAATGTTCTTGGACCAACGTGTATGCGACTCCACGATAGAGCCTTCCCGTAGAGCTTCAGTGAACAGTTGAACTCACCATGATGGGCTTCCCTTGAAAGACCTTGACCTCCTCCCTCAGGTATTTCAAAGCCTGAGCAGAACAGAAACGAGTAGTGTTAAAATCGATGCAGAGACAGTTCTAAAACCACATTTAAGACAAGGAGAGTCACCTGCAGCGCGTCGTCGTCCGACTGGAACGTGACGTACCAGTTGCTGTTGTGGGCGAACTCCACGCTCAGCGCTTTGGGGCAGTTGTTGTTGAAAAGAGCCTCCACTTCCTGCAAGAGGATTATGGGTTATTTGAACTGGAAGGGCACACATCAAGCATTTTGTTTGATTTTGGGACCCTAAACACAATCTTGGGGAATTTAGTGTTTCAGTTTGTGGATTGATTGACATGAAACGCCGAAGTGATGCACAATTCCCATACATTTCAGAAAATGTATGGACCACACTCTAGATGGAAAGAGAACCCAGAGAGAAAAAAAGCCCAGACAGAGAGAAATCCCAAGGCCAAGTGGGATCTTACATCCTGCGTTTATATTTTTCTTATCCAACATGGCATGGTACAACTGAAGACATACAGTTGTATAAAAAGTAACGAGAAGACAGATAATCCAAAGTATGTCCATGACATAGTTAGAAAACAGAACACTTAGACAGAAAGGGCGGGGGGATGTGTAGACGCTCACCTCGACAGGAGTGGCATCGGGCACCTCCCTCAGAATGATGATGCAGCGGCTGTAATTTGGCCGAACTTTCTCACCAGATTCATCGACTTGAACAAGAGGAGACGCTGCAGAACAAGCATTAATTTTTAAAGCAGGAATTACAGTAAACATTGTGTATTAAAGTTTTACCCCCTTTAAAAATATAGTATGTGGTTTGGTCCCAACGGAAAGTCTTTGTGAAACCACAACCTTCTGTCTTGTTCACTTTTCTGTTGATCTTTAGATCAACTTTTTCAGAGAACTTGCTGTGATTTTTCTTTTAATTTTAGGTCAAGATTGTGCTGCATGTCAAGGCTTAAATGTTAACATTTTCCACGTGTATAATTTAAGATACTTTTACATAATTCAAAAAGACTTCCCACAGAAACTCCCGTAATGATCTGCATTTCATCCCGTGGTAAACGGTTTCCAAGAACTATACAGAAAGCTAGTAAATAATTTCCTAAACTCACTTAATCTGTCCGATATAGCCCCCACCTTTAAAGAAATGAAACCAAAGTGCTGTATTTATTGACTAAAACAGAGCAGGTGGTTTGTACCATGGTCAAACCTGGTATGTATTCCCTTGTTTTTTCATTCAGAAAATATTAAAACCAAGTGGATAAAATGAGGTTGTTCCTACTTTTGAGCACGTCCACGATGAGCTGCACGTCCGAGGTCAGAGACTTTATGTCCTCCAAACACGCCACGGTCCAGATCGGCACAAACTGGTCACTGTCCATTTGAGAAATGAGGTACAGGTCCTTGGACAGGTTCTCTCTGCAGAACACAGATTTATTTATACAACTTTCACCACTGGACAAATGTAATTCCACAACTCTATTTGCTATAAATATTGCATTTAGTAAAAGATGGAGCAGTCATTTTGAAAATCAGGCTTTTTGTACAGTTAACATTTATTTTTTATGTTTTTATGTATTACACAAGGGGCCCTTTGCTCACTCTATTTTAGATCGATTTACCTCTCCATGAGCCATCTCAATTCTCATATGCAATTTATTTGTGGCAAAACTCTTATAAAAACCACTCTGAGGCCCTGCTGTCATAATAGAGAACAACACATTGAAACTTAAATGTGTACAATGCTGAAAATGTTCCTATAAATCAGCAACACCTGCAAAAGGTTTTGAGAAGTCATTCCATCAATGGACAACACAGTTTAACATTGATCTGTTATCTCTGTATGGTGGTCTCGCTCTGGTCTCTGGCTCCGTGTTTGGTGATCAGTCAGATACACAGAGACATTTAGAAACCAGAACCTTAAAAAGCAACCATGAATGTGACAGGGAGCCAGTGAAATGAGGCCAGCACAGGGGTAATGTGCTCTCTCTTACGTCTCCCTGTGAGCAGTGCCATTCTGGACCTCCTGAAGGCACTAAAGTGAGCCTAGTCCAAGTGAACTGTAGTCTGATGTATTCACAGATCTCCAAAAACAACATAATTTACCCACTGCACTCCACTAGTCACTTCAGCTAAAAATCACTTTATTTGAAACAAATCAATGTTTGTGTCTCATGCCAACCATGTTTACAGCCCAGTAAATATGAAATGATTGCAACAACCAGAACTAAACTTTGTGAAAGAATGACTGGTAAGCCTGTCGCAATATTCAATAAATCAATTAATCGCATGATAATTAAAATTAGCTCGATAGTTTTCCTGCCCGCGATGAATTTAATGTTTGTTTTCACGTCTTTCTCCACCTCTCTGGTCAGAGAGCCGCAAAGTGGTCGCAAAGTGGCGAGCAGACTGAAATGACTCAAAAATACAACCAAAAAAGGACCTAAACCAGGACTTAACCCTTTAGGCGCCAGAGTTTTTTCAAGAAAATATACAATTTTGATTTCAAGATTTCAAAAGGCTATAACTTTAAAATGGTTTGAGATAAAGGCATACTGTAAATTAGAAATATCTTCAGTTTGAACCAAACTTTGGGATGGAAGTTGATTCGTCATCTAATTTGCATATTGTGACGTCATCAAGGTGGCGGCCATTTTGGAAAATGTTAATTATTGTATAAAGACTTCAAAAAGCTGTAGCTTGGGAGTTATTTGAGATCAGGGAATACTATAAACAGTCAATGTGAAATATCTTTAGTATGAAATGAATTTGGGATAGAAATAAATTCCCTGATCCAGATTATAGATAATGTTTTAGCACTGGTTCGCGGCCATATGGAATTGTATTATTTTCAAAGACCTTCAGTGATCAAGACAGAACTCTTTATAGTTTACAGTCATGAAATCTTGAGATTGGTTTCAATATTTCCCTTTCAGAGAAGTAGTGGGCTTACTATTTTTCTCAGTGGAAATGAGGCTCCAGGATTTACCGTTTACAAACAGAGAGATGAAATGAATGGGCTCAGAACTTGTCAGATCGTCTCAACAACATACAACAGGCTCTTCAACACTTCTGATCCACTTGTGGATTATTTTCTCTCAAGAACTGTCTTCATCCTCATCATCGCTGCTGGTAAAGGCAGTGAACGTGATTAGCGATGATGGCTCTCCCGCGACTTCTCCCGCGTCTCCCGTGTTCCCCGTGGATGTCTACCCCGGCTACTTTCTCCCACATGCCCGGTGTTATGATGCCCCTGTCCTCTCCACCACGGACCCTGCTTGGCGTTCACAGAATGCTTCTACCGCGGCCACACGGAGGACAAGCAGCCGCTGTACAGGGGCTGATTGTAGACTATGGAGCGCGGTCTCCCCGTCACCAATAATGTCCGTGACTGCTTCACTGGACACCTGTGTGTCTTCCTCCTCTGAATCTGAGTGAGCCAGTACCAGACCAAGTACTTCTCTGGTACTGAAGACCTCGTGAGTAAATAAAAACACTCTTTCCCTCTGCTCTGCTCTTGCTCCTCTCAGCTCTACCGCTGCTGCTTCGCCTCTGCGCTGCAGCGCCGCAGGTGATTTACAAACTCAATTTACTCAAAAACTTTCAATATAACCACACCCACAAATGCTGCTCATATCACAGCCACACATGTCCACTAACCCCTGGTGAAAAGTATTAACAAGATTCTGCACCACATTTTTACATACAGCCTGTTTAAGTGAGCAATGTTGCTTGTCGCAATATTGCGACTTTGGCGCTTAAAGGGTTAACCAGGATTGACATCGGGGGACACAGTAGTTGTTCTCATTCAGGCTCTATTAGTGACTAAACTAGCGCAGTTAGCCAACTAGCAGTTAGACAACTAGCTAGCTAGCGTGTTCGCAGATGCAAAAGTACCGATTAATAATAAAATAAACTTATGACGCACCTCCGTGAACACATTCTGCTGTTATATAAGTCTCTGGAAGGTCTCTGGACAAAGAGACGCTGCAGAGCTGCATTATTGGCAAGAACTTTACACAAAAAGCCGCTAGCATGATGCTAACAGAGTTAGCATCAAGCTAGCGGCTTTTCACTCTTGCCACTTCCGGCGGCGGTCTTTAAAAATAAAAGTGTATTTCTCTTTGAAAGGTGGACGTGCTTCATTGTATTAGATGAAAATTATCTCAGAACGACAATAATATTGCCTATCGCAATAATTTGAGACAATTAATCGTCCAGCAAAATTTGTAATCGTGACAGGCCTAGTGACAGGTAAAAGCCGACAATCCCATTTTCATCTTTCCGTTCCACATCTTTCTCTTTGTACCTGGAAAAGTAGAACTCGAGCTGCTTCTTCAGAGACTCGCGCAGGTTTTCCTCAGACAGAGTTTTCTCGGTGACCGTCTCGTCCTCCCCACCGCTGTTGTACTGCGGCTCGAACACCAGGTATCCCAGGTCCGAGTACTCGCACGTGCTGCTCATCGCCTCCGGAGCGGACGGGTCATAGTCCGAGCCGTAGTCCGAGCCTTCCGGATAGACCAGTCCAAAGTCCTTCGCATCCGGAGACGGGAACTCTGAGTAATCTGTAGAAATACACATATAATGCACTTTGTTAACGCCCATAGATCACGGTTTAGAACACTACATTTATCAAAACTAAAGATGGTCTATTATGCTATTAATAGCTTGTCTAAATATATCATGCAGATTATTGTAGAATGTTATCACACTAGACAAAAACTCTACTGCTGTAAATATTCAATCATAGTTTCAGCTCCAACAAGACAAACTTGTAACCACCACAGAAATAATGCCTAAAAAGACAGTAGTAAAAGTAGTGATAGCACCAAGTATAAGCCAGAACAGTTTTAAACTTTGTGTTTAAAATATAAATTATTGAGTTAACGTAGTCTCTGCATTAAACGCGTTATTGATATGGAGCGGTTTCAAGTGAATTCATTGATGGCAACAGAAATTTAGAGTATTAACCACTGTCCCTTCTAATGTTTACTTAAGAGTCTCATTACAATCAGACTGTTGCCAGAATCCTCTGCCTGTGACAAGTTCGAAGAACTGACGGCTGATTAAATGTACCTGCTGGGGTTTAGCTAATAATCAAACACACTATTGCATAACAATGTATTTTTGTATCTGTTCTCATTTAAACAAATGCTTGCTGCCGTTATTATTTGTGAATGTTGCGGTTAAAAAATAAAACAAACAGATAAGAGCCTAAACCAGCAGCATTCCACCTAACAAACTGGCAACCCATTCTGCTCTCAGACTGGATCATCCGCTTTGAAATCATGAACATAAATATCACGGAAATCATGTTTTTTGTATTTTTCATTAAGAATAACTTAACTTTGCCATTTTGCCAGATTTATTATAGATAAAAGTATAAGGGTAGATGCAAGATCAATAAAACATGTGCCCTGTTGTCTGGAGACACATAAGATATGTAGCCTGAGATAGGGCAGCACGGTGGCTGAGTGGATCGCACTCTCGCCTCTCAGCAAGAAGGTCCTGGGTTCGAATAAGATGTAATACGATGTAAGCTAGCTATGTTCACCCGGGCTTGATTTCTTCTTTGATCATTTTTTTATTTAGTTCCCTCTTCTCTTCCTCACTGTTGCATCGTTTGGGATGTTTTGTTGTGTCTGCAGTTACAGCCAAAGTAGGTATATGGGCACTTTCTGCCTCCATTCTGCTCTTGTTTACCAGCGTTGTGGAGATTAGAGGACGCAGCCTCGTTCTGTGATCGGCGAAGAGCAAGTGTCACGCCAAGTTTCTACTCAGCACTTTTTACGGCCAGAATTCACACACAAGCTGAATCAGAGCTCAAGTTTTTGATTAAATTACGGATTATAATAATACAATTATAATATGCATTAAAATGAACTCATAAAAAATAAAAACAGGTATAGCTTCTTTAAACCGGTGTGTGATGTTTTTGTATTGACTTTCTACAGATGTAATCAATAAAGCCTGGGGCTGTTGTCTGTGTCCAAACACCTCAGAGAGGCAAAAGTGACAGGAGTTTAAAAGAGTTTCACCTTCAACAAAGTCAACGGGGGGAGGGTAGGAGCCGACCCAGGCCGCGTCCTCAGTGACCTCCAGGGAGTCGGGTTGAGTGACCGGGACCTCCTGCCAAACCTGGGCGTTCGGGTTCAGACCGGTGCCCTGAGTAGTCACCTGCAAACAGAAAACAAAAAAGTAATCAGCCCAGTCTCATCACTTCAAAGTTTACAGTTCATATGTCAGACCAGAGGATCCCCCTTAATAATTGATTACGTTTTTGAAATGGATAAATAAAATGCAGTCGATATACCTCACTTTATGGCAAGAAATACATTTTACTCTAAAAACGAAAAACAGTCCAAATCATTATTATTCAATATAAAAATCTAGCTTGTATCCATTTTTTACTTAAAAATATAAACAGATTTATATTATCAAAACGTTTTCAGCACAACCCTATTCCAAATCCATGTGCAATAATGTAGTAATTTGTGCAAAATAAGATGCAAAACAACCTAAAAAACAACTATTGGATTTCCTGGTATCCATATTTTCTTCAACTCCTTTTATTTGCTGAATCAAATCTACCATCCAAACAATTACATACATAACTTTGAAAATCGGACAGTAACACTGAATTTACAATTGTGCAAGTATGATCACACAGGTTGATCTCTGGTTTGAAGATATTCAGACTACAGTAGTCACGAGAACCTTCTTGAACTTGAACAATATAGATTTGCCAAAGATCTGAAACACTCCTTTCATGCAGTTACTTTGGGAGAGTGAACCAATCGCCCCTGTATGTAATGGGCATTTACAGCACAGTGTGAATCATTGCTGAGACGTCTGTAAATATTTACCCAGTTATTTAGTGCGATTGAGGCTGTATTTGAATTGAGATGAGAAACAACATGACCGTGCCTTGAACAGAACTCACAAAGTAATAATCAGGTTTCTTACATCATAGTGAGACACACTAAAGCTACATTTACTTGCCATTCTTATACAAAGTCTCGAAGTTATTTAGCCTTTAGCTTTTACATATACGCTAATATGGTGACCCCCAACGTTTGTCTGGATTAAGAGTCATTCAATAATTCTTTAAATAAGTTTTAAAATTCAAAATGGCCAAACATGAAGCCTGAGTCTTGCCTGTGCTCTGTTTGAAGTTATATTAGGTCAGGGGTGTCAAACTGGTTCCAGAAAGGGCCAGTGTGGCTGCAGGATTTCATTCCAACCCAGCAGGAGCTCACCACACTCCGCCCATTTCCTTGAGGCTTCGTGTTAAGACTGGACTTGGGTTGAGTCTGGTGTGCTCCTGCTTAGTTAGAATGAAAACCTGCAGTCACACCAGCCATTTTAGGTGCGCATGAATTAGGAATTTGGTGGGACTAAAAACATAAATAAGTTTTTACCATTACATCATTGGCATTATAATTCATAGATAAGAAAATAATGATAAACAGGAAGTTCCGAAGACCGAATAGAAGTCACATGCAACCTGCTGCATTTCAATGATCGCAATTTGTATTTTTAAAAGAAAATAGAAAGTTTGTTGATGTACACTTTTCCTTGTGTGCTTGAAATAAACTAAACTAAAAGTAATCTAGAAGAAGAATTCACCAAGCGTTTTATTGTTCACCAACTAATAAAAATTTGAGCTGGGATTAAACCGTTGTGAGACAGGTTGATTTTACCCAACTGATGATGTGTTGTTGCTATAGTAATCCTGCTGTGTCCGTCAGCATAACACAAAAACTACAGAATGGAAAAGGGTGAAGTTTTGTGGGATGGTACAGGGAAGTTAACATTTCAGGACAATCCGTGGCCTTGGCGGGGTATGCATGCTCAGAGTGCACGTTCCTTGTTTAGATAATGCTTTCCACTGACTAGGGCCCCAAAGCGCTTTACAATGAGTGTTTTCCATTTATTAGACACAGTGCTGTGTTAAGCCACTCTCGTAACAACAGTTGCCCCGGGGAAGACTTTCAATTACTATATTGTCGCTTTTTACATGTGGAACTGCTGTTGCACATCACTAATTTCTACACTCGTTTCACACAGAGGTGTTTCTGGGTGATGCAAACACTGCTTTAAAAAGGTGACAATCTTATTTAGTTTCTTTACTTTGATTCAACAAATGTTATTGTGACATAATATATAGAATACCACCATTCCAACTACAGGTAATAATGACTGTTATGCAACTAGCAATAAAATCATGTAAATAAGAAACAATAGATGAGCATCTGAAATCCCTGCTTTGTTTTGTGTTTATATTTGCCCGGGGCAGTCATTGCCACAGTCATTTCAGCTGTATCATATGCAAACAGTGAAATTCTTGTGGCCACAATGCTCCTTGAACAGACACTTGGCACTCATAAATCAGTCTTGCAAACTTTGGCCACAGATAAGGCCTTGAACACATGCTTCTCTCGACAAACACGACGCAGACTCTTGATGATTGGCCAGTTCTACTTTGTCCCGCCCTCCGCCGTGACGTGTACGGAAACGGCACCAGCCCGCCTCCCACATGCGTAACTCCGACGAGCGCAAACTGACCTGTCATCCTTTCAAGGCTGTTACGGCCTCAAACCGGCGCTTGAACCAACAATCAGTTAAAATACACGCATGGAGTAACTATGTATAACGCAAAGTGTGTGGATGATGTGGTGACAATGCTAACGCTAGCCGCAAAACGAAGCTAAAATCGACTTCCTGTGGTGTTTTATTGCGTGAAGCACATGGCACGGGCATCCACCATGCTTCACCATGTGGCGTAATGATGAGACGTCGCCCAATGAGCAATGAAACACAATAAAAACATATGTCTTTTCGGTATTTAAAGTCACGTAGACTGCAAACACGTAATACCAATGCATTAAGCGCCGCGGGGGAGACTTGTAAACATATTAAGCCACTTAGCCGAGTTGTGTAACAGCTAGCTTTGCGAAGATTACGTAGAATCACATGTAGCAGAGGCAAATCCGCAGGCATTGTCCGAGCACAATGTCTGCCCACGGTGATGTTATAAAATGTTAATTAACCAGCAAGTAACTGAACACCCTTTCTTCCCAGTAGCTGCATGGAGTTTGCAGTCGGACCAGTTTGAGCCGCTCTGCTTTTTTAGGCTAACCTTGGATAGGTTACGGAAGTGCATCTCAAGTTACCAAAGCGATAGTTAAACAGTTAGGCATTGTTTTTAAGCATTAACTAAGAGGCGATGCTTGTGTATCGTTAGCAACATGGATCCAATCAACTTCGCAACATGAATGAACAGCATGTACCGCCTGGCTACACACGAGGAAGCACGCAAACAGGTTGCCCAGCGTGCGTAATGGCTGAAAATACAAAATCAGAAAACTGTAAACACTCACCATTATAGTGCTAGATCTTCGTTAGACGTCGATTGTGTTTGAGAAGTCGCTGTTTTAGTTTCAAGTCTATCTTTTCTTGACTTATATCCAAAGTCACGTCAGCACTTCCCACTGCTGCTGCTGCTGCGTGCTATCTCCTCGGCAACTCCAAACGGCACGCGTAAAAATGGCAAAAATATGCAAAAATACTTCGCAATCTCGCTTTTGATTTCGATTCACTCACAGCGAGAGTTAAATTACGATTCTTCCATGCAGCTTTTCTTGTTTAGGAGCGTTGTTTGAGCCAGTTTGGGTGTTATCTTAGCTAGCGCAGCATGTGACAGTAGCCGTGTCCTCTTGAGTCCCCCGTGAGTGTGACCGCGTTCGTCCAACAGCGACGTAGGAGCGAGAGACCTCCCCCACAACAAGCCATGGCGACGCTATATATAGATTAGAAAATAAGTATATCAATATTTACCTTCTCTGCCTAACGCCATTTAATCGAGACGTATGCGTGTTTTTTATGTTGTCGCTTTATTTCGCAGGCTACTTTGAATGAAGGGCGTGTTTATTTGCGTTGCACAGTTAGTACACAAGGCAACTCAAAGTGCTTAACAAAACAAGATCAATTCAAGTAGTATCACAGTATTTTAAGAAGAGTGAAATAAAACCCTTTAGTTGTATGCACAGCCAAACACAACTGTTTTAACCCGTTAACTTTGACTCCTTGAACTAAGCAATGTATGTTTTTATATGTAGGAGAGCTAATAACTTAAATAATTTTGTTTTACTTTTTTTCAACCCTTATATATTTATTTTTTATTTAGGCCTTTACCAAATAGTTGCAATGCAGTTTGATGGTAAAAGTGCCTAAAACCAAGCGAGATGCCCCAAAGGAGGTAGATTTCAGTTCCATACATATACAGACTCAAAAGGTGATCTACCAAATGGTTTAGGAAACTATTAAAGGTTTAACCTAGATTTGACCATTTCCTGAGTAGGGTAAAACATGTATGCTACTTGGAATTAAAGCTGGGTTACTTTACTGTGTTGTTTAATAATTAACATTGGTTTGTTTTGTCTACAGAAAGAGTCTCATAAAAGTAATGGAACCACAAAATATCTATCAACATGTCTTCATATCATAATAAAACATGTTTTAATTTACATACTTTAAAACAGAGTCACTATTTGACACTTTGGGCTCAGAGTTGATCCCTCTTTATCACTTTTCTGTCTGAAAAAGTGGATCTAAAGAGGCCAAAAGTACATGCATGTGATAACTAGTGATAGAAGCAAACTGTTTTGAGAGCCAGGAACATGGGTTTTTTGTGGAAACAACAAGCAATGATCACTGGTTAATCTGCTGGAACTATCTGAAATGTGATAATCTGAGTCAAGCAAGCCTCACCCCCTCATCCCCAACCCTACCCCGTATGAACTTTCTCTAACCATTAACTTCACATGGTTGTGACTAATCAAATATGGTAACAAATGGTGACTATTTACTTTTAACCAATACCAATTACCTTATTAGTAAATCCTCATTGCGATAACAGCTAAATCTAGTGTGGAAACGATATAATAGTACAGTAAACAAGTGAGTGTCATGACTGGACCGCTCCTCCTCCGCTCGGGTCAGCCCTCCAGACCCCGGGGCCCTCACCTCAGCCATCAATAATGCATTTACAACACAAAAAACTGCAGCTCAATGGATATTTGCCATAGAGTGGGGCCATTGTTGTGCGTGAGAATCCTTAAATGATCAATAGATTATGCAGTTGTACCCAAACAAGAAGGAAACAGAGTGAGAGGCCACACAGACCTAAATTGAGTAAATGGAAATATTAAAGGCCTCTTTGATTCGAGCGGAGGATAGAGACACCATAGATCCTGATTCCCACAGTGAGATTTCTATAACATACAGTCAGTTTAAAGAAGGAGAGAAGTGAACATTACAGTAGAAGTAAATGAAAGACTTAAGTTACAGCTATAAACATTTATTTGGAAATCTTAAAAACTTTAATCCTAGTAAATCTTGTGGCTAGTATGTGGCTCTAAATCATTAGTTTTCACATCATTTTGTCTGTCAAATCTTTAGATGTCTCTGGTCTCTCGCCGGTGTCTCTTGTACTTGTAAGTAACTAATCTTTGTTGATAGACCACATTCACAGCCCAAGATCACACAATGCGCTTCGCAAGGTTTTTTGTTTTGTTTTCGAAATAAACAAGAAAATGATGGGTAATTGTTAATGACAGACAATGCAAGTTTCCAGGAAAAAATGAACATCTTATTGACAGAAAAGTAGACAGGTCTCAATTGGCTTGAAGTAAAAGCAATATCCTCATGTGTAACTTCCTGTTACTTACAGTGGCAATAAAAAGGATTCTGATTCTGTTTCGACCTTTTCAATCAATCAAATTTTATTATGAAAGCGCTTTTCATACAAAAAATGCAACACAAAGTGCTTTACAGTTTAGTTAAAAACAATCCAGTATGCCCAGCCCTAAACCCCGCCTTGTGGCGTGACATTAAAGTTTTAAACCAATGAAGTCACAGCTTACAAGGAAAGTGATATTAATTATGTTGGAATTTTGAGATGTATTTCTTTTGTATTTTGAATCCGGCTTTTTAAAATCATTAAAGAAATACAAGAAATACAAGAAGAAGAATAGCCGAACAAACAAATACAGTAGCACATTTTCAACTCTTAAATTATTAACTTAAACAAATATTTTGATAAATTAATTTGTCAAATAATAATTTTAGGGTGACAGTGGCTCAGTCGGTAGAGCATTGGCCTTTGAGCCTGAAGGTTGTGGGTTTGAGCCCACCACAAGACTTACTTCACAACTCCCACTGATGACTGCTGTCGTTGTGTCCTTGGGCAAGACCCTTAACCCCACTTTGCCTGAAGCCCCCGCTGAAAGATCTCAGCTCCTGTGGACTCACCACCTGCAGGAGGATCAGTGAGGGGCTGGTGCTGAGTGGACTCTGACTGTCATCCCCCGACCCAGAAATGGATGAAGGGGAAGAAAATGGATGGATGGATAATTTTAGGACAACATTAACAATACACATACATAAATACATACATATACATATAAAAAGGCCCAAACTTATCTCTTGTTGGACAAACGCTTAAATATGTCACAGATGTGACATAATTAAAGGTAGTTTCCGTAGCGACCACAAAGTAAACAAGGGACAAAACTTGTGTATTTTGCGCAACAGTTCTGGAAAATAAGACGACCCTTATCTTGTTTAAACTTTCAGATAACTTCTTTTCTTGGGCCTGTATTCTCATCTTTGCATTCGGTGACATCACACAAGGAGGGATTCCATTCCAGAACTCGGACCAAGGTCGTCTGTGATTCCAGACATGCCTCCCTTTATATGGATTGTTGAATTTATCCTTTCATTACTGTAGATCTGAATCTTCCGTGCTTTGTTTCAAACAGAGGTGACAGAAGCACTAATTACTATTGTTAGTCTGAAGTGTTTAAAGCTGGGGTACCTAACTTTCAACCCACAGAATAACAGATCAAGGTCATGGAATCTACTTAGTTCCTCCTCGCTCTCAAAACAGTCCAAACTCTCCAGTTCTCACCTGCCTCTGTCACATCTTTAGATCAGGTTCAAAGACAGAAAAGTGAAACAGAGGGTCCCACCTTCCCTCAGCCAATCAGCTCTCAGCCCAAAGAGCAAAATAGTGACTCACAGGGATCTCTTACGTCACTTTTTACGGCATCTTACGTTTTCTATTAAGATAAAGGCAGCATGTTGTGGTCTGATTGTTGCAAGACTCCGATCTGTTGGGACAAAAGCAAATTATATTATTATTAGTTAAGGTTAAAAAAAAACAGTTACAAAAATACTAGTTACTTGCCACTTCTGATTTGAACATATTTTTTATTTTCAAGTATTTTATCATGTGTAATGTGACTCAGTGTGTACATGTTTGCTCTCATGACTTTTCTGTATCTACACACCAGTATTTCTGTCATTATTTTCATGAAATGTACTTTTATTTCTGAAACGTGATCATACGTTTAGCTCAGTTCAGTGGAAAGTCATATTCAAACATAGACATTTTCGGTTGTTTGTAACCTACATTCTCTGGCAGTCAAAGCCACTTTCCTCAAGGGGCTGGTCCTGGACTGGTACTGAACTTGCACTGGACTGGTTCTGGTTACCATAGCAACACAATGTTTACCGTCAGCAGTTTGCATTTGGCAGCTTTTCAACAACTTTTTTGGCTGTATTTCAGTTGTTTTAGCACTTATTACTTATGTGTAAAGGTTAAAAAACGTTTTAAATGACTTGTAACAAAACTATCTACATTTTGGGAGATTTTTTTTCATTTTCCAAAGGTTTGAACAGTTACCCCTTTAACCTGGTAGTCCTATCATGTTAAGTGTCAACGTCAGCCTCTGAAAAGCCACTCACTTCAGTATTCGTCTGTGTTGTAATCTCCTTGTGCTTCATCACGTCTGTGTGATTAACTCATTATTTGCATTTAAAGGGATTATATGCAAACGTTGTAACTGGCTGCCACCCAAAACCAGAAGCCCAGAGCTGTAAGCGCTTATCAAGACGTTTGCTTCTGCTTCGAGGTCACGCCCGGAGCACTACATCCTGGTTGGTTCACCTCCGTATCTGCTTTTCTCAGCTGTGAAGCCATCAATAACATCAATAATATAGATCTCCCCTCGTGAGCAGATCTTCAAATGGATTTAGAAATTATGCACAATAGACAGAAATAATGTACACGGCTGTATGTCTAATGCAAATGTTTATTTTGTGTCTTATTTTATATCTTTTGTATTGTTTTCTTTTGCATAACGTTTATATACGCAGTTACTCTATGTGCCTGTTATATTGATATATGTAAAAATATGTATTGTGCAGGTTCAAAATAAATGAATAAATACAATAAATAATAACAATTCTTATTATTCTATACTGTACTTTACAAGCGTGCATTTTTTGCAGAAGTAAAAAGGAAAAAATGACATGATTCCAAATCCGAAACCAAAAAAGGAGTGACTTTGTATATTGTACCAGTTTTAATAATGGCAAGCACACATCACAATTTCCTCTTTTTTTTATTTTAATTTTTTGAAAGTCCTTTGTAACTGTCTTATTGAATAAAACCCCTGCTTAAACTATGACTGGCTTTAAAACGTAAAAGTTAGATTTGGTTGAGTCAATAATCGGCGCCTCTAAAGATAGTCTCATGGCCGCTTGTCCGACACCTCTGTGGTAAATCCTATTACAGCGATAGTGATTAGGTGGAATCTATCTAAAGTAAAGCTGGGGGATCTAACTTTTTATAATATGGAAAAAGAATGAGTCATGAGGATCTTTCAAGAGGCTTTTTATGTAGCTAAATTAAAATTACAACAGTCTTTCTCAAGAATACACAATACTTTATACCTGCTTCTTATCATACGTCTTCACAATGTTAAAGATAGAGATTTTATACTTGTTTCTTTGATGCTAGAGATACAGATTTTATTTGGTGTAGAGATATTGTTCTTTTATCTTGTGCTGTGTGATCCTCATTCCTACTGGTCTGTAAAAGGTGAAGCAACTGAAATTTCCCCATTGTGGGATGAATCAAGGATTTAATAATCTGAAGTCAGTACTTTTCCACTTGATATTTTGGTCGAAGCAAACTTGTCTACAGGCAGAAGCTGAAGGGGAGCTCCCATATTTGACTGTTTAAAACCATGTGAACCAACAATAAAACATGTCTTCTGTTGAGACGCGATCCCAGACCTCGGCATAGTTTGGTATGTTCTTGTTTAGTGGTCAATAAGGAGAATTGGTGTGCACAGGGTAAGTGTGCCTCCTGTACTGGCACCCCCACTCCCAAAAATAACAATTGTAAACCGCTTTGAGACTCCGATGTGCAGTGAAAAGGCGGTATATAAATAAAGATTACTTACTACTTACTACACAGGGTAAGTAAGTAATCTGTATTTATATAGTGCATTTTACAGACTGGCGCATTAAAATCCCCAACTAACCCTATCCATTCATTCACCTGTTACATTCGTATCTTTTAGTGGAAAGGGAAACAGGAGCACCTGGAGGAAACCTACGCGGATACAGGGAGAACATATAAAGTCCACTCAGAAAGGCCCTGTTCCGACCAGGATTCGAACCCAGAAGTGCGCTAACCACTCAGCCAGCTCATTTTCTTCAGCATAGGTACTGTAGTTGCAACAGGATTTTTTTCTAGATGCTAAATACTTTCTGGACTATAAGACACACCTGAATATAAGCCGCAGTTGTTCATGTTGTGATGTAGCAGAGAAGGCGATAGTTTTAACTGGTCACAACATGATTTAATGAAAGGTGTTTAGAAGCTTCACCGTTCTTCCATGACGGTACTTCACCAGTCTATTTTGACAGTAAACGAGTGTCCTATAGCTACCAAAAAAATCTCTGATAACTCTTTAACACAATAAAAATACACACATTATCTGCATCGCTACATAAGCCACGGGGATCAAAGAACTAGAAAAAAGTAGTGGCTTACAGTCCAGAATACACGGTAGTTTAGCTTCTTGTCATAATGTACATTTACATAAGTCACACTGTTTTTCAAAGATCTTGTATATTTCACAAAAGGAAAAAAAAACACATAATAATAATTTACGTGCTAATCGATGTCAGACCCAGAGAGGTTTAGGCTGAAGTCAAGACCGATGCTGCCTAACCTCTTTTACAACCGTGACACTACGTCCGAAGAGGAGACGATGCAGTTTCTCGTCCACAAACTCAGTGGGAAGAGCTCAGAGAAGAATCTAGGGCTGAATCGGTCTCCAAGGTCTGGTTTCACACTCGGGTAGGAGTGCACAGATGTGGTTTTACTGCAAATGGCAAATAAAATCTTGCATCTTGTATACCAACAATGGGGGGAAAAAATGAACTATCAAAATCATGTCAAGGATCCTCTATGGAAGTCTCTTCTAACGATCGTCATTCAAGTGTTGTTTATACTTCTCCATGTTTAACTTATACTTGTTTTTGAATGTTTTAATGGTTCTGCTGCCCTTCAGTTCAATAGGTAAACTGTTCCATAGACAAAACTTGATGCTTTATATATGTACTTGTCTTGTGCACACTGGGAACTTTTGCAGAAGTATTCCAATGGGGTTTTACTGTAAATGGTCAATAAAATATTCTGAACACTGATAAACACCCTTTAAACATTATTTTGATATTCTACTTTTGTTATTTTGTACTTATTTGCTCGAAATAAACATGGCTTATTATAGTATGGCTCTTTCTTCATCTGACGACTTCTGTGGATTTTAACCTTCATCCCATTTCTACATAAGACATCGCTTTTGTGTGTTTTTTCTTTAATCCGTTTTTATTTTTATTTATCAACATTGTGACTTGCTACCACCAGAAATTTCACGCAGCACAAACTAATTCACAATAATAGACCTTAACATGCAACTTCCTCTGAGTAGAAAATAGGTTATTGTTTGCATCAATGTAAAAAAGAGCCCTGTGAGTCACTGTTTGACATTTAGGGCTGACAGTGAGGGTGGACTTCTCTTTTTCCCTTTTCTGTCTGTAAAATCTGATCTAAACATGAGACAGAGGCCAAACAAACATGTATGTGGAAGCTAGCGAACGAAGCAAAATGTTATGAAAGATTAGAAATAGTTTGAAAGTTAGGTACCCCAGCTTTAAATGCAGTGCGTTGTGACTCGAACACGCGACTGAATCTTTGTCATGAAAATTGAAACCACAAAACCTGTCTTTGTTCATTTATTGACAACAGAATATAAATAGTCACGGGTCTGTGGTCTGTACAAATGCTGCGGCTTTAACGCGTGTTTTACGGAGAACAGAAAACTCGGCAGATTCCTCGGAACGACTCGTTGTTGGATCAGGCTTTGACCTGCGGCGCCTGCTGGCTCTGCTGCAGCTGCTGGATCTTCATGTTCATCACCTCGATCACAGCTGCAACGGAAAACAGACATGTCACTCACCCATGTTTGAAAGACAAAATATATTCAATTCAATGTATTTGTGTAAACAGTGATGACGACAATGACTGCATCTTCCTCTTGGACCGATGGCTCTGTGGGGTTTTTATTATTGCACTTCCTGTGTTTGAAGCGTCTGATTCTCTGATCTGTGTTGGTGAATCGACCACTTTGTAAAGTCCTCAGAGATAAATGCTGTTGTGATATACGCTATGCAAAAATAATTGTAATTGAATCAGAGGATCAAAAAGTTCAAACACAGAGAATACAATAATAACAGTTGTTGTTTTGTGCTTTACAATTGTTTTTTTTTTTTTTTTTTTTCTGCCTGAGTGTTCATGGTTTTGCACTGGTCCAGACCAGAGCGGAGAGGATTCATGGTCAGAACCATTTGGATCAAGCAAAAATCCACTGGAGGAATGCTAACTCCAGGCTCCACCTCTGCTGCTGCTGTATTTTAATTCTATAATAAACTATTTTTAGAATTTTCTATTTATTTGTTTTGTTTTTGTGCTGGACGTGTTTCTGTGTTTCCTGAATTTCTCCTCTGGGGGATTAATATAGTATCTATCCATCTATAATTAACATTATAGATGGACAACATAGAAGCTCTTGGTCCATGGGCAGTGTGATGACCACTGTCCAGGAATGCTAATAAATGTCCATATACGATCTTAAATGTTACAGGTAATCACTGTCCTTAGACCCAGCATTAGCACGGAACCACTCAAAAACCCAGCGGGGAAGAGAGAGAGAAACCTCGAGGAAGGGATCCGCCCCCACGGACGAACAAGAAGACCCATGACTCAAAAATAACGGTTTATAAATAAAGTTTAATCTTCGTTTATGTTGGATTCTTTATAATCACGGTTATAGAAAGCACACACAAAAGATGTATGGTGGTTCTAAATTTACAAGGTATGGGACTCGATAAAAAAAAAAAAAAATCTAATCAATTAGAGGCTTTGTAATTAATTAATCCCATTTTAATCACGTATAAATATTTGACCTGAGAACAGTGAGAAGTAATCTTTTTCACATGGATTTTTAGTTTACCATTGAATAATGACTGGATACATAAGCTTAAGCAACAAAAATATTGTCCAACAGACCAGTGCAGTTTTTGCCATTAAGTGTAGCAATACCATTTTTAGAAATATACTTCCCAGGGGCCAACCAACGCGGTCACATCAGATTCTCTGTTTCTGGGTTGCCCACGAGAATTTAGTCTGGCTTTACGGGTTCTAGCGGGTTCACAAATGTACAAAAACTACTTGAACTTTTGTTCAACTTTGTCATATTACAATTAGAAACAAAAAGATTTTATTTTGAATTTTTAGCTTTCAGCTGCTGCACGAGTGAAAACCCTCACCTTGCTTCATGCCGTGTTTTTCCTGTAGAGCTGGCTGGATCTTCTCAATCTGTTTTGTCAGAAAGTCAATTTTCCGTTTGAAGAAAGCTTTGGCGTCTTCCACATTCTGAGAGAGAAGCGCAGTTTTAGACACGGCCCAAAAACAAATCCCAAAGTTATCGATCCAAGAGGATGTACCTTTTCTACGTAGTATCCGGTGCCGACGTCGACCAGGACTCGCTCCACGTCGTTCAGTTTTCCAGGAACGTACATCTGCAGAGCGTTAAGGACAAAACAAAACCTCTGGACTCTAAACGATCCAGTTAAACGTCTCTTCATCAACAAACTCTTTATATTGATGATATCTTTTGTACTGGTCACAAATGTTCAGGAGAAAATAATAAAGAAAAAGAACCATTTGGGAAAGTAACAGAAGTATGATTATTATTTAAACCTGTGAAAGCAGATATCTGTGAATTTTCAGTTTGAATGTAAAAATAAAACCCTTGGTGCCACACGCAAAAGGTTCCGGGTGAAACAAACGCCATAATTACAGAACGTTCTGTGTGCTGCAGTTTCAGGGGGTTTTATGTGGAAAAACATAACTAATGATTGTGATGTTACAATTCCATCCATCCATTTTCTTCCGCTTTATCCGTTGCCGGGTCGCGGGGGCAGCAGTCTAAGCAGAGACGCCCAGACTTCCCTATCCACACACACTTCCTCCAGCTCGTCCGGGGGGACCCCAAGGCGTTCCCAGGCCAGCTGAGAGACATAGTCCCTCCAGCGTGTCCTAGGTCTTCCGCGGGGCCTCCTCCCGGTGGGACGTGCCCGGAACACCTCCCCAGGAAGGCGTCCAGGAGGCATCCGGAACAGATGCCCGAGCCACCTCAACTGGTTCCTCTCGACGTGGAGAAGCAGCGGCTCTACTCCGAGCTCCTCCCGTGTGACTGAGCTCCTCACCCTATCTCTAAGGGAACGCCCAGCCACTCTGCGGAGGAAGCTCATTTCGACCGCTTGTATCCGCGATCTCGTTCTTTCGGTCATTACCCAAAGCTCATGACCATAGGTGAGGGAGGGAACGAAGATTGACCGGTAAATCGAGAGCTTTGCCTTTCGGCTCAGCTCCCTCTTTACCACAACGGTCCGATACAGCGACCGCATCACTGCGCACGCTGCACCGATCCGCCTGTCAATCTCACGCTCCATCCTCCCCTCACTCGTGAACAAGACCCCGAGATTCTTGAACTCCTCCACTTGAGGAAGGACCTCTCCACCCACCTGCAGAGGGCAAGGCACCTTTTTCCGGTCGAGCACCATGGCCTCGGATTTGGAGGTGCTGATTCTCATCCCAGCCGCTTCACACTCGGCTGCAAACCGTCCCAGTGCATGCTGCAGGTCCTGGTTCGTTGGAGCCAACAGGACAACATCGTCCGCAAACAGCAGAGATGAAATCCTGTGGTCTCCGAACCGGACCCCCTCCGACCCCTGGCTGCGCCTAGATATTCTGTCCATAAATACAGTGAACAGAACCGGTGACAAAGGGCAGCCCTGTCGGAGGCCAACATTCACCGGGAACAGGTCTGACTTACTGCCGGCAATGCGAACACAGCTCTGGCTCCGGTCATACAGGGATCGGATGGCCCTCAGCAGAGGACCTCCGACCCCGTACTCCCGGAGAACCCCCCAAAGGACACCCCGGGGAACACAGTTGAACGCCTTCTCCAAATCCACAAAGCACATGTGGACAGGTTGGGCGAACTCCCATGAACCCTCGAGTATCCGATGGAGAGTATAGAGCTGGTCCAGTGTTCCGCGACCGGGACGAAAACCACACTGCTCCTCCTGGATCCGAGATTCGACCATCGGCCGTAACCTCCTCTCCAGTACCTTGGAGTAGACCTTACCGGGGAGGCTGAGGAGTGTGATCCCACGATAATTGGAACACACCCTCCGGTCCCCCTTCTTGTAGAGAGGGACCACCACCCCGGTCTGCCACTCCATTGGCACTGCCCCCGATCGCCACGCGATGTTGCAGAGACGTGTCAGCCAAGACAGTCCTACAACATCCAGAGACTTTAGATAATCAGGGCGGATCTCATCCACACCCGGAGCCTTGCCACCATGGAGGCTACCAACCACCTTGGTGACCTCAGCCAGGGAGATGGATGTACCCACCCCAACATCCTCAGCCTCTGCCTCTGTAACGGTGGACGTGACGGGGGGATTGAGGAGAACCTCAAAGTATTCCTTCCACCGCCCGACAATATCCCCAGTCGAGGTCAGCAGCTCTCCACACGCACCGTACATGGTGTTGGCAAAGAACTGCTTCCCCCTCCTGAGGCGTCGGATGGTTTGCCAGAATCTCTTCGAGGCCGACCGATAGTCATGCTCCATGGACTCTCCGAACTCCTCCCAGTCCCGGGTTTTTGCCTCTGCAACAGCCCGGGCCGCGGCACGCTTGGCCTGCCGGTACTGGACAGCTGCCTCAGGAGTCCCCCGAACCATCATGGCTCGATAGGACTCCTTCTTCAGCCTGACAGCATCCCTTACTGCCGGTGTCCACCACCGGGTTCGGGGGTTGCCGCCGGGACCAGCACCAGAGACCTTGCAACCACAGCTACGAGCCGCCGCATCGGCGATTGAGGCAGAGAACATGGTCCACTCAGACTCAATATCCCCCTCCTCCGCCGGGACCTGGGAGAAACTCTCCCGGAGGTGTGAGTTGAAAGTCCGTCTGACAGGGGGCTCAGCGAGACGTTCCCAGCAGACCCTCACTATACGCTTGGGTCTGCCAGGTCTGACCGGCTTCTTCCCCTGCCAGCGGATCCAACTCACGACCAGGTGATGATCGGTTGACAGCTCTGCCCCTCTCTTTACCCGAGTGTCCGAGACACGCGGTCGAAGGTCAGATGATACGACAACAAAGTCGATCATCGACCTCCGGCCTAGGGTGTCCTGGTGCCACGTGCACTGGTGGACACCCTTGTGCTCGAACATGGTGTTCGTGATGGACAAACCGCGACTGGCACAGAAGTCCAACAACTGAACACCGCTCGGGTTCAGATCAGGGGGGCCGCTCTTCCCGATCACCCCTCTCCAAGTGTCACTGGCGACTCCCACATGGGCGTTGAAGTCCCCCAGGAGAATAACGGAGTCCCCGGGCGGTGCACCGTCCAGTACCCCTCCCAAGGACTCCAAGAAGGCCGGGTACTCTGCACTGCTGTTAGGCCCGTAGGCCGTCACAACAGTGAGAGACTTGTCCCCCACCCGGAGGCGGAGGGACGCGACCCTCTCATTCACCGGGGAGAACTCCAACACGTGGCGGCTGAGATGGGGGGCAATGAGAATGGCCACCCCAGCTTGCCGCCTCTCCCCGCGGGAAACTCCAGAAAAGTGGAGCGTCCAACCCCTCTCAAGGAGTTGGGTTCCAGAGCCCAAGCTGTGTGTGGAGGTGAGGCCGACTATCTCTAGTCGGTATCGCTCAACCTCCCCCACGAGCTCGGGCTCCTTCCCCCCCAGTGAGGGGTTCCACGTCCCAAGAGCCAGATGTTGTGTGTGTGGACTGGGTCGCCGAGGTCTCCGCCTTCGACTGCCGCCCAGTCCTCTCAGCACCGCGCCACCACGGACCCCTCTGCAGGTGGTGGGCCCACAGGAGGGACTGCCCACGTCATCCCTTCGGGCTGAGCCCGGCCGGGCCCCGTGGGCTAAGGCCCGGCCACCAGGCGCTCGCATACGGGCCCCGACCCCAGGCCTGGCTCCAGGGTGGGGCCCCGGCTGCGCCATGCCGGGCGACGTCACTGTTTTCATTTCTGTGCTGTCCATGGTGTCTTCTGGACTGCTCTTTGTCTGACTCGTCACCTGAGACCTGTCTGCCATGGGAGGCCCTACCAGGGGCATGAAGCCCCAGACAGCATAGGTCCCAGGATCATCCGAGTACTCAAACTCCCCCACCACGTTAAGGTGGCAGTCCAGGGGGGGACTGCCACCTTAACGTGGTTTGTAATGAATTGTAACATATGTTACAATTCATTCCCCCAAACTATAAACTCATATTTAATTAGAGGTGGAACAGTGACGTTTTTATATGTGGTATTTTTAGTTTGAAAGTATTTGAAAGATTGTACTTGTCACTTATTTCTTTTGTATTTGAATTGAGGATGAAATATTTTCCATGTTGAGTGATTTTGGCCTCTTTTTTTCCCCCTGGCTCTGTTAATTCAAGACACAATAACACAATCTCCCATTCTGAAATCTGAGAGAGACTTTCCTGGTGTCCTTCAATGCATCTGTGAGATCTGAAGGATACAGAGCTGGTGAGTGGAACGAGCAGTTCTTTCCCTGCAAAAACAGAAAACAACAGTTACTAATTGAGGTTCTTAATGCGAGAAAACAGATTATTACTGCGTTAAGCTGTGCTGTTTAAAGTTAAGTTTGTAACTAGGAGTGTGAAGATACATCGATTTTTTATAGCGATATTTTCTCCTGCAATCGATTATCAATATGCGTTTGTCAAGTATCAATTTTGAAATCAATTTTTTTTGGTTAAAATTATTTTTTATTTTTTATTAGTATCAATACATAATATATGGCTACATTACACATCTCCATTCCATTTATCATGAAATAAAGTGGTTTTTTTCACTTAACATTTTTCTATTTTATGTATGCCATATATTGGCATATGGTATATTGCTGACCAATATATCGATAATTCTCATATCGTGATATAATCGTTATCGTGAGCTTTGTATCACGTATCGTGAGATACCCTTAGGTTCCCACCCCTTCTTGTAACAGTAAAATCAGACCATAACCTGCTGTCTTCATCAAATTACAAGTTATATTTCGCTGAAAGAGCTCTGTTCAGACAGAAAAGTGAAAGAGGCCAAAAATAAATGATTATATGTCAAATTCTTCTCACCCTGGTTGTTCTGGTTGAGGACATTGAGACTGTCCTTCGCCTCCACGAACTTTGTCTGAGCGAGTTTCAGCTGACCAATGGACGAGGTCAGGAACTCCGTCTCCTGGAAAACACAGTTAGCTTTTAGCATTTCCACAGGCCCTGTTTAAGAGGTACCAGGTCCTTCTTTAGACCCTCTTGGCCCTGGTTCTGGCCAATCAGTGTCAGTAATTGGCCAGAATGCACCTGGAAGACATGGTTGCCACTGAATTTCCCTGGATACTGGTTTGTTGTGGGTAGGTTGCTAGAAATACAGAACCAGATACTGCATATAGTCCATATGACCAGTTAGTGCCAGATTCATGCAGCTAAAATCTAGAACAGTCTTCCTGAAAATGTGAGAAAGGCTTCTCCAGGTTAAAACAGTTGTTTAGCTGTGCATACAACTGAAGGATTGACACTTCAGTCTTTTAATGCACTGTGACTAATCATGATTTTAATGCCTGTATGGTTGTTTTCATGTTGTTTTGTTAAACACTATACACATAATCTTGCATTACCTAGAACAAAATCAGTGGGTTATAAAATATTAAAATTTGAAAACTTGTTTAAAAGCGGAAATACTGAACCTTTAATCAAAACAGCTTAACGTCTGTTTTAATAAACGTAATAGCAGGTATGTTAAAGTAGCTTTGTCGCAGGCAGCTTTGTGGACACCACCCACTGATGCTAGCACATGATGCTAGCGTTAGCATTAGCATAACACACTCCACAGCCTGCGTTCACTTGACCAAGTGTTTTTTATGCAAATTGTCGGAACCGTTGTAATAAAACACAAAAAACAGAGCAGTGACCTGATCCAACTGTGTCTTTAAACTCTCCAGCTGCTGCAAAGAAAGGTCCGTGAGATTCACCGCCATGATGGAGACAGCAGGGCCAGAGCTGAGGCGTGGAGCGAGAGGCTAAAGACTGAACGTTCTCAGTAATGTCGCCATCGTGTGGCGAGACCTGGCATTGCACCATGAATACATAGGATCAGAAGTCAGGACTTCTTTGTTCATATTGAGCAAATCTGAGCTATTTTAGTGTTACCATAATACTATAACAATTGTTTTATGTTTTGTCCCTAGATAAGAGTTTTGTAAAAGTAAAAAGTGAATACATTAGATTACAACATGCTGTCTTTATCTTTAAAGGAAGTAGTGAGTCACTTTACTACCCTCAGCCAATCAGCGCACAGCCCGTTTCACATTTCTGTCTGAAAAAGCGGATCTTAAGATGTCATAGATGTAAAATAATAAAATACATGCATGTTCAAACTAGTGAGAATTGTTGACAGCATCATTTCATTCTTTTGAAGGTATCCTAGCTTTAAAATGTTTTTTTTTCTGCTCTACATCAGTCCACTTTCGCCTTTTTGTATCTTATAGCCTTTAATATCCAAATAAATATAATCCATTCAATTTATTTCTAAGAATCATGAAGTTAAATTTGAATTTCCAGTGAGTCATTTACATGAAGCCCAAATGAGCTTTTAATACAGAACTATCAACGAGTCAAGAGAAAAACACGCAGATACAAACAAACGTTTATTCAATAAATGCCTCAGACATTTAAAAATCATTAAAATCTGTAAACTTTACAATTTACAATGCAGAAGTAGTGGACAAGTTTGTGATAAATGTAAAAAATTTAAATTATTGGGACAAATGTGCATTTCTGCATACACAAATGACTCCCTACACCCTTTTAAAACATGTGCATCTTGTTTGATTTTAAAATTATAAACATGTTACTAGAAAATTACAGGAAAACATCACACACAATTCTTCGGGAAATGTGCCGATATTTACAAAAGAAATGTAAAAAAAAATAATCCAATAAAAACTAAAATATTTGACAGATAAAATTAGATTTCTGTGAGAAATTGGGGGAAGGTTTTGCTTAGTGTACAACAGGGAATTCCCGAGTGCGATGTTATAAGCATTAGGACAAATTATAACGAAAAAAATTTAATAGAAACATTAGTCAAAATTGAAGCAAACTCTAAATCTAAAGCCCTTACTATTTTTTTTAATTTGATGTGAGGAGCAGAGAAACATTAAAGGCTCCCACTCAGACAGTAGATGAAGTCAAGTCAGCGATCAGTGGCTTTTTAAAAACACTGGCAAATCAGAGCTGTTGTCGTATACATATACACACATCCTTTAATAAGAAAAGTCTTTTTACTTGTGGACCCTCACTAAACCTGTAGCTCCTGAGTCTTTGAAAAAAGTCAATTTTAAAATGAAAGAATAAGTTTGTAAGAGTGAAGCCAGGTGTATGGGCAGTTGTCTGTTCTAGGCCAGGTGTATGGGGAGACCGTAGACCACCGGCGCGGCCCCGATCAGGTGCTTTAGGATGGTGGCTTGTCTCGCGGGGCCCATGAAGTCCAGCAACGGAGCCCCGGAGCCGGAGCTCAGCCAGGACTCCAGCAGGGCCTTGGTGAAGCGGTCTATGTCGCGGTCCGTCACATCCCACAGGTTTCCCAGAACAAACGGACTGAAAAAAAGGGGAAAGTTGGATTCATTCAAACGTCGACAAAGCAGCGTTCAAGTGACTTCCCAGCATTCCAGAATCTCAATGATTCTGTGGCAGTGCTCAGACGGCTGTGTGGCTGCAGGTTTTCATTATCAACCAAGCAGGAGCACTCCAGACTCCGCCCACTTCCAAGCCCTCAGCACAAGACTAGACTCACTTGAGGAAATGGGTAGAGTTTGGTCTGCTACTGCTTGGTTGAGATGAAAACCTTCAGCTTTGTAAAAACTTTAAATACAACCTGTCAGTTTGTTTTCAATATTCTAGTTTTCTGACAGGTTGTATTTAAAGTTTTTACAAGCTGTGAGCCAATTGTAAACCTTATACAGATTCTCTAGAAGTCTTTGTTATAGTATTTCTAGTTGCTTTTTTGTTAAGGTTTAGAAGTTGGGTATTCTAACTTTAACACAGTCGTCCTCAAATAGGTTCTCAAAGAGCCATATAGCTGAAGGTTTTCATCTCAACCAAGCAGGAGCACACCAAACTCTACCCATTTCCTCAAGACTAGTCTTGTGCTGAGGACTTGGAAGTGGGCGGAGGCTGGTGTCCTCCTGCTTGGTTGGGAACATATCCTTTAACCACATAGGCCCTTTAAGGACCGGTTTGACACCTTTGGCCCTCAGTTTGTTTTCAATATTCTAGTTTTCTGAGGGCCAAAGGTGTCAAACCGGTCCTTAAAGGGCCTATGTGGTTAAAGGATATGTTGCCAACCAAGCAGGAGCACAACAGACTCCACCCATTTCCTCAAGTCCTCAAGTTAAGACTGGACTCACTTCAGGAAATGGTTGGAGTGTGGTGTGCTCCTGCTTAGTTGGAATGAAAACCTACAGGCCATTTCCGCATGGCGCCGTGGCAAGAGCTCTGGTAGTTTTACTGTACTGTTGTTTTACTGCAAATGGCAAATCAATTCTTGAGGACCGGTTTGAGAGCCCTACAGCCATAATTATCAACATTATAATAAACAAAGGCTTGGCATAAGTAATTCGTCTATATTGTCAGTTTAAATTGAACTGCAGAAATTAATGAACTTTTGAACAGCATTGTAATTCTCAGAGTTCCTCCCGTTCGTGCTATTATCCAAGAGCGAGTTTGCAGATTTCCTCACCATCCTGCGATGAGGTAGAACAGAGCGATGCCCTGACCCTCCTGCTCCCCCCTCACGGCCAGAGCGGCGCTGGAGCAGCCGAACAGCAGCGACGCAGCCCTCATCTGCTGCTTCAGGACCTGGTGACTGTCCAGGAACCGGGCCCCAGCTCCGTGGCCCACGTAACTATGGAGACAAGAGGAACACACGTAATTTTAGAAACACAAGAGACAAAATGACAAAATTGAATATCCTGATATTTGTTCCACATCGCTAGATAACGCTACAATAAAACTGGGGGTCTGATGAAAACCACAGCATGAAATAAGTCACTGTGTGAATAGTAAAACAGAAATGAAACTATTGTGTTCAATTTTGTGGAAACCAAATGATGATTGCTAATGATGATTCTAAACTTAAAAACGATATATGGCAGAGCTTAAGTTGGCTGGATGGTAAATGTTTAGCACCCACCCTTGGCATCAGTCCCTAGTATACGTTTTTACAGATATAAAATTAGGTATAACATACCTCGTCTACAAGTCTATATTTTAAAGTTGACCCCATGTGTAAGTGGCTGGATACAAATCTGCTCATATTCTTGCAGGACTTTGTTTGCAGATTATATTGGAAAATGTTATTGTTGTAAAACAATAATCAGTTATTAATAAGAGTTCCTTTATCCGTCCCACAGTGGGGAAATTTTGAATAATCATAATTAAACCATCATTGGTTAATAATAAAATGATGAAACTCACATGTACAGATCTTTGGTTGACACCGCCTCAGTGAGAGCCGCTGTGTCGGGAGCCTGTCCACACACACCCTCCCAGTGCGCTTTACTACAACAACAACAAAAACAACAACAACCGTCACTATCGAAGCACGACACACAAACAGGAGAGAGTTAGAAACCACCGTCACCTGCTGAAGCTGTCCTTGAAGCTCTCCTTGGAGTATCCCAGGTTTCCCTCTGGGTCCAGGACGTAAAACACCTTTTCTGCGTCGACTCCCCGCTTCAGGACAGAGCTCGGCACGATCTGAGCCAGGTTCAGACACATTTAGGGATTTAAATCATTTCACATTAGAATATCTGAACGGGGACCAGTGGGGGCGGGTCCCGGCTCAAAAGGGTCCATGAAGGAGTTGTAATCTGACTCCTTGCCAGTGGGGTTGTACCCGGAAACAGAATCATCCAATTAATTTTTACAACACCTTTGTTCCCCCTCCAAAACGACTTTACAGGATGGTCCAAAAGTCGGCTCTTGGCTCAACGCTACGCTCCAGATGCTGTCAACGCTGAGGGGAGTATTTTTGGACCAACCAAGTTTATCTATTGTGCATAGGGCCTGTGCAGCTAACGCATTCGCAAATGCATTTTTTTCACATTTTTCTGCGGGAAGGGCCACTTGCAGCCTTATTAAAAAAGATGGCAGTAGGGAAAAGGGACGACACACGAATTTCAACGGCGTAGATAGGCGTCACTATGTCCGTTAATATTTACAGTCTATGATGGGGCCGTATACAAGCATGTTTACTTTACAAGAACTATAATACTTTTTATTTTATTTTATTTTTAAATAGTGATTGTGACACAAATAGTTACTGAGCTAGACAAGTTTATTTTTACGTGTCAATAGGAGCCAGAGAGAGTTGGAGCAAAACTTTGTCCATAAGCACTTCCCTATTGAGCTTCATTGAGAAAACAAAGAGTAAGCATTGCCCATCTACATACAGTCTATGGTCCCATCTTCATCTGCTTTTTCAGACAGTAAAGCCTAGCGTACATCGACAGAGTAACTGGAGACAACTAGTTGCAAGGCGGCTTTTGGCAACTGAGAGTAAATGATGGGAGACGATCAGTTGCCGAAATCGGTCGATGTGAGCGCTCTTACAACTGGAGATAAACAGTCGATCTCCGGTTTCAGTCAGTTGCCCGTGTTCTACTTTTCGGCAACTAGTTGTCCTCAGATCCGGAGATATCACCCATGGCGCGCTCTAACATCATGTGTGTATTGCACGCCCTCTACAGTTTATGCCAGAAAACACTGTAGTTGAGGCCAGTTCCTGTCGATGTACGCGCCGAGACTGGTCTGCTACTAGGAGTTGCCCGTTTTCGCCAGATATTCAATGTGTGCAGGGCAGCAACTCAGCAACTCAAATACGACGGATATAATCAGTTGCCAGTCCGATGTACGCTAGGCATTAAAGAGAGGACCAGCCTCACTCAGCTCTCAGCCCTAAATCTCAAATAGTGACGATGTGGTCTGATTTGTGTGCAACATTTGTGCCGTCTTAGTACATAAATAATACAATATGAATCAAATGTTTTCCGTTGGTTTTTTCAATAAAAAAATATGAAATTTAAAAATCTACTGAAACAAGTAACCGGCTGTTCCGGGTTCAATCCTGGAGCCGTGGATTTACCTCTTTGTCGATGCTCAGTCCGATCAGAGAGTGAAGCGACGGCATCCGGCTGACGGAATGAGACCTCAGCACCGTGATGCTCTCCCAGGGCAACTTCTGCAGGAACTGCACGGAACAAAACATATAGATTACAACCAAAATAAACTCTACAGAGAAGAGTAGAGCAGAGCAGAGCCAAGAAGGGCTTTCTTACAATTTTCTCCCCTTTTTTGCCTCTAGTGATTCCTTAGACTGTTACTGCTCTGTGTAAAACCATCACTTTGAAGAATATGGCTGAAAATCTAACAGCCCAGGTGGATTTAAGCTGCAGTACCGCAGGTGGCCCCTTTCCCCCATGTGGAGATGGGTTTAAGAATTAACACCTCATCCAGATAATATACATCCAAATGTCATGTCTGATTCTGGTGAGGGGTAAAACACATGTAGAAAAGGATCTCTGAATGTATAACAAAGTCTACCCTCTTTTATTATCATATAAAAGGATAATAAAAGCTGGTCTTGTCCCATGCATGATGCAAGACAGCATCTTGTGTGCTTTTGCCCCTCACCTTGTCCAGGACCAGCACCACGTGGCCTCTGGGCTCCTCTCGCTCCAAAAGCTGAGTCACCGCCGCCTGAAGCAGCTGCTCACAGATCGAGTCCCAGTGCGGACAAACTCCAAACGCAAAACTCTTCAAGTCGTCTTCTGAAAGAACAGGAGCCGCCGACAGCAAAGCCTGGAATATAAACAGTGTACTTTAAGATAAGAAGACTATTGATCTCACAATGCAGAAATTTTCATGTCACATTTGGCATAAATAGTATCACTCAAGTTGTGCAAAAGACTGGAAATTTACCACAAGGAAGTAAAGAACTAGAACTACAGAGTTTGCGTGTTGTTTGGACCAGTGTCTGATTTTCACCATGGGGAAGACAGGAACGTGTTGTAATAAAACCTTCAGCTTTATCCTACCCAAACATAGGTCCATCGATCATCAAAATAGTTATTGTGGCTCTAAAAAAAAGGATCAAACATGTATTTTAAGATTTAAAGCTGCACCAACTGACTTTGTGAAATTTTCGAATGTGAGCACTGGCCTCGCACGGAGCTTTCGCCCCCCCTCACTTTTTTCCCACTGTTTTTTTTATTTATTTTTTATTAAAGAGTTTTTCCTTGCCGATGCAGGAGGGTCTTTTGGGCAGTCAGTGACAAACTAGAAGGACTGTGGTGATGATCCAGGACACTTTAACATTCTACAACATGTATGGACATTTTTCAACATGTGTTCTATATTCTCTGATCTGATCTGTGTTGGTGATTCAATGGTTTTGTTAAGTCCTTTGAGATGACTTCTGTGTGTTAAGAGTTGTGCACTCAACTGGGAGTATCTTTAGAGACAAAATGTGATGTCATGTTAAAGTATAAACCAGTTTTTAAAGACCATTTCAGATGTTCATCATATTTGAGAGTTAGTGCATACAGTATTATTTCAAAGCAAGTTGTGCTCAGTCCTCCCCGCCCTCTGTCAAAAATAAAACAGACATTCTCAAACGACTCAATAGAATCATCAATAATCACAATAGCAAAAAAATTTTTTTTTTTTTACAAACCACTATATTAAGGCTGCACAATATTGAAATTAGAGCGATAATTCATACGAGTGTTTAGAATTTCAATAACGATATCATTGCGATACGTTTGTCTTTCACCTAAAATTGCAATCTGCATTGAAACGCAATAGATAAATAACCAAAAATAAGCACAACATTAATAACCTTCAAATGCATATATTTATATACTTTGTTGTTCTTGTTTTGTTGTCTTTAATAAAGAGAAAAAATATACATTTCTTTTATTGATACCGCAATAATGATGCATTATTTACAATAATTTTTTGATGTAGCCCTGCAGCCCTACACTATATGATAGCGCTAGTACTATTCTATTGTAACCCAATGAGAAATGTACCAGACACGCACCGAGAGAACTTTATATTGAGGTTCTTGCAAACTTCTGAAGCCTGGCTAAGTTTGAGTTGGTCAGAGAGTACTCACTTTGATCATCTCCAGACTGAGCTCCACGCCTTTGGCCGACAGAGCCACGTGGAGCTTCTGGACGTGTGCGTCGAGCTCCTGGTCCGAGGACAGTGGCAAGAGGAGACTCTTCCAGCAGCTCAGCGCCTCCTCCATCTCCTTCAGCAGCTCCTGCACAAACAACACAAGATTGTGATGGTAATGTTTTTAAAAGATCCTCACTTATAGCCATTTATTTTTTTGACACAACTCAAAAACACAAAAAAAAACATTTCTACAATTTGAAATAGAAAATACAACTTCCTAGTTTGTGACGTCTTGTCACTTATAAATGGTAATAAAAAGATGATTCTGAAAAAGACCATTTAGAATATTGCGTCACCTTAAAAATGTCTAAAGACTGAAACTGACCTTGACTCGAGCGTCCAGAGCGCGGCGTCCTTCCCACCACTTTGCTTTATCGGCCACATAACTCACAACCTTCTGCTGCTGCTGAATACTGTCCATCTCCTGCACCAGCTGGCTCACAGGGCGCTGAGAGGGAAGACACAAAATTAGAATCAATACAGTCCATTCCAATTAACTCATTGAAAAGTAGACTTAAAACCACAGAGCTTATGTCTGGTTTAAACACTGCAAAATCCTGGTGTTTATAATTTTATAAAGGGGCTGGATTTATAAAAGACATAAAAAAGTGTACTGATGAGGATTGATGCCACTCCTGATTGGTTTAGGTTGCCGGGTAGTTGCTGTATCAGAATTTGGCTTTAGATTCCCACCCATAGTGCCTCTAATGAGCTTCTTCTGCAGGATGAAGTCGCACACTACATACTTAAATTGTGGACCGTAGGAGTGGATTAACAACAAAGTTGTAGTGTATCAACAGACTCTAAAAGATATTCTCAGTGATTTATATGCACAACTCCAAGCCATTTAGAAAAGCATGAATGTACAGTGGGCGACAGTGGCTCAGTTGGTAGACACTACGCCGACAACAAAGCAGACATTCTCCTGTGGCTGGTGCTCTGGGAATTGGGTGGCAGTCCCAACCCAGAAATGGATTAAGGGAAGAAGCCGAATTCATGGATGAATGTATAGTACAGATACAGTACCTTTAAATCATTGATAAAACATGATTTTATGACTGTTTTAGACCAGTTTTTAATTAATGTGGGAGTGAGAGTGCGAGTGTGAGAGAGAGAGAGAGAGAGAGCGAGAGAGAGAGCAAAAAGGAGCGAGACCCGAGAAAGAGAAAAGTGCATAATAGTTCAGTAGAAGTTGTGCTCTGTCCTCCTCGTCCTCAGTCCTTCCTGCTGCTGTTTGGACAGAGATATGGAGACAGTGACGTGACTGCTGTGGCTGCATCCTGACCTGCCGTCTGGAGCTCTGGACGTGCACGGTGACGGGAGCACGGTCCTTTTCAAGTCGAGAGAGGAGCAGAGAATCTCCCATCTGCCCCGGCTTCAGCCCCACCACAGACAGCACGCACACCACCACTCCTGGGAAACGGGTGAGGAGAGGGAGGAGTGTGAGGAGCAGAGCAATAACATGACATTAAGGGTTCATATCAGTCTGTGCTTATTCCAAACTCAAGCTTTGAAAGGAGGTAGATATCGGTCGCTATTCAAAGGATTAAAAGATCTAGTTTAGTTTAATCAGATCCCCAATAGCCACTGAGGTGTCGTTGTTATTCTTCCTGGGCGTCTCCTCGAAATCCTTACATGCGTGATATTAATCGTATGTAAAAAATATGTCTAAGAAACCCATACACACGACAAAATGAACGTTCAATGTGAAATCATTTAAAACCAGAGAGGGAGAGAAAGACCAAGAGAGAAACTGAGGGGGAGGGAACGAGTTAACAAAAGGGAGAGACAGAATAAGACAAACTACTTCAAATAAATACCTGGGGGCAGCTGCTGAACTTGCTGTTTGAACTGTTGGCAGTGTCTTTGTGGGAAATCTGAGGAGTCTGCGATGGGGAAAGAGAAGACATGTTCCAGCCGTGTCAGTCTGTGAGCCGCTGAGGTCCTGGATTCATCTGGACTCTGCTCATCAAGGCTCAGGGCGTCCATCTTCTCCTGCAGGTCGTTCGAATTCTTTTTCAGCTTCCTGGAATCACACATGTTCAGTTTTAGGGGAAATAAAAGCAGACCACCAGCTTAAGTTTTTTTCTCTACAACCTTCATGTATGCATGGACCCATAGGCTCTGTACCTAATGTGTTTTAATCTCCGGCTGCACAAGTTTGGCAAAATATGTCCAATGTATTTTGATATCCTGGGTGTTTAAAAAGTCAGATTTCTGTACAGTGCAAATACAACTTTAAGAGAGTTCGATTGGAAATCCAATTTTGACACATTACATACAAATAAATAGAAACGGGGACAAAAAGAAAAGCACAGAGGAAAGAGGGGCCAGAATTACATTTTCAAAATAAACTCAATTTTAGAAACATTATCACAAATTAAAGTGATGTTTTTTCCTATCTTTAGTAAGTAAGTAACACACATTACATTACTATTTTCCGTCCCAAAGAACTTTAACAATGGCAGTCTGTGCATTCAGCCGCCGGAGACCACTATAGGCAGTTTTTCCGTGTTCTCACTTGAGGGAGTTTGCCAGGTGACGGATGGTGCGGTGTCGGCTGGTGATGCCCAGAGCCTCGGTGTGGAGCAGAGCGGTGGTCTCTGGGTCCTGTTGTCCTGTGGCCAGAGCCAACAGAGAACAGAGCGACGAGTACAGGTTTGGAGAGGGACAGTGCTGCAGGAGGAGCCAGGCCTCGGAGAGCAGGGACCTCACCTCCTCCAGGGAAAGATTGTCTACAGAAAAGTACAGTTTTTCAGTCATCATTTCATGTATGCGGCTCCAACACCAAGGAAGGTGATCAAGGACTGGTTATAATTCAGTAAACCAGACCTAAATCTTTGATATAAAAAGGCAATTTTATTCGAGTTGCCTTGTGTATGAACTGTGCTATACAAAGTGCTTAGGAAGGCATTAAATCATAGGACATAAAAAAAGAGCAAAGATATGCACAGCAAAACAGAACTGTTGTTAACCTGGATTTGAACATCTCACCTGGTCTGAAGTCATCATGCAGCAGCTGGGTCTGAGCGCCCTCTGGTGGCTGGCCCCTGTTCCTCAGCTCAAACAAATCCGCTTTCCCCAAACCAAACGCAATATCTCGCCTCAGCACCTCGCAGTCTGTGTCTGAAGCAAAAATAATGAACAAGTGAGTTCCAGTGCAGCTCATGTTAACTACAATATGGTCCAATTACTGTCAGGCCTAAACATAAGGGAAAATATTGAAACTACTATAACAAAAATAAATGTGGTGGGGGAAAACTTTTCTGTTCAGTGTTGCCATATTTTGCACACACAATTAAAATACAGTAAATCAAAGTATTGCCATATCTAATTAAACAGTTTCCCTTTCGTGTTCTCCAATTTATATCTGAGGTTTATGTTACTCCATTATGTCTGCATTTTGTTAGTCGTTTGTATCTGAATAATTGATGTTGCTTGGAGCTCACCATTCATGTCTTGTGCTTTACACTTATAAATGTGACATTTGAGGGACGTGAATTGCAAAATCGAATTTACTTGCTGTATTGCAATATTTGGGCCACAATTCAATACTGTTACGATTCTTAACATAATGCACGACTATCGAATCGTCACCACCCCTAGATGCTGCAATACATGCGAATAATCCTTTATCCAAGCATTTTCTTTGCTCAATAAAACAAAAGCGTCCTCACCCATTGCCACAGCCCCCTCCTCAGGCTCCGCATCAGACCCTCTCAGCTCCTCGATGCTCATGTCCAGCGTCTCCACAATCTCCTCGTTGATGGTCCTCATCTTGTCCAGGTCTTCGGTCTCGTCTGCTTTCGTGGCCCTTATAGTGCGTCTGGTCCTTCCTCTCTTCGGCTCCTCATCCTCAGAGGACGTGTTCGAACGTGAGGTGGCCGTGCTCTTCTTGCGCCCCGGAGTCTTGTTTGGAGCCGGAGTCTTGGGAGCCGGAGTCTTGGGAGCCGGAGTCTTGGGAGCCGGAGTCTTGGGAGCCGGAGTCTTGCTTGGAGCTGGAGTGCTGGGTGCAGATGGAGCTTTGGAGGATTTTCTACCGGATTTTGAAGTTTCTGTTTTGTTCGGTTGTGGGTTGGACTCAGAATCGCTCTCGTCGCTGTAGTCAGCCTGACACAGAGAAAAAAATAACTTGTATAATCCAGGTGGTGCGGGGTCAAAAGTCTAAAGATCGCAATAAATGTTGGTAGATTTGATTATAATTCAGATGTTGATGATCGCAAAAGATAAAAATAATGTGGTAGAAACCGAATACGCTGAAGAGGTGTGTTGGACTTCAGCGAGTAGAGGAAAAAACTGTCCTCTCGACTGCTTAAGTGTCCTTATCCCCTGAGAAAGTTGGTGAACACAAAGAAATACCGTACTTTCTGGACTAATGGATGCACCTGAAAGAAGTTCTAAGCAACACTAGCAGCACTAGTACTAGCAACATTTTAAAAGTCAGTATGTTTTGTCCACATACAGGCCACACTTGAATATGAGCTGCAGGTTTTCATGAATTAATGACAAAGTTTAATAGCTCCCCTGTCTATTTTTGGCATTAAACAAGCATCTTGATGCAGTTCATAAAATCTGTACCCTGCTGCCTATATAACAAAAGAACCTCTGGCTTATAGTCCAGAAATTAAGGTAATTGTAAATCAAAAGGAATCAATACAATAGGAAAGAAAATAACCAACCCTAAATACAATTACTAAAAACAAGTTTCCAAGCCCTTATTTGTCCAAAGATTGATCTATCCCAAAAAAAGTGAATGAAAAAGGACAGTATTTTTTAGGCCTGAATTTGAGTCATAAAATAAATAATGCAGAAGACTTCAGAAGAGTTAGGGTTTCAGTGTAGAACTACTTTTGTGGTTCAAGTTAGAGGTTTTCTGAAGGCCTCACCTTAAACCGTAGCCTGCGGTTGCGTCTGGGAGCAGCAGGGACTGGCTGTCGTTGCTCTGGCTCCGGGGAAAGCTCTTCATAAACCTGAAACTTGGAGGCCGTTTTCGGGGCCTTTTGAGCGGAGGCTGGAGGCTTGAACCTGTGCACCGGTGTACAGGCCAGAGTGGGTACGGTCGTGCTGAAATCAAACACGCTCAACTCTGCGGACGCCGATTTCAACTTAGGCGTCATTGGAATCGGGGTTCTACCTCTGGACGTTGAACTCGAACTATTCAGTCTGGGGTTGTCAGATTTTGCCCTCTTCAACTCTTTAGTTTTGTCAGAATTTTCAGATTTAACAACTGTATTTTTGGCGTCTTTTCTTGCAAAAGGTGTTTGAGAATCAATTTTTACCTCCGGCAATTCTTTTGCAAGTTTCCAAGACCAAAAGTGCGCGAACAGCTCTTCTGGCGCACAGCCTTCATCAGAAGAAATCGTAACGAGAGAGAGAATGGCTTTAGACGCCATCAGCGCGGCTTTGATCGGCTGCACTTCCGGGTTCACGATCGAATCGACAAACTCCAAACCAGCTTCCAAACCTTTCCATGCATTACAGACTTTGCTCATCCTCGGATCAAGTCCGCACAAAGCGATGCGTAGGTAAATCTGGGCTACGACGTCGTGCAAATAATGCGGCTTTGACTTGGATTTTACCGCAAAAATCGCAGACAATTTTGTGCAGAGTTTAATTGATATATTCTTTGAGCGAGCCAGTGCAGCACGGTGCAGCTTGAGTGCGGTTTTGGCCTGATCCGAGTCAAGCTGGAGGTGCAGGTCTGCGCAGGCGGTGGCCCAGCGGACGGCTACTCTCCCCAGGCACGGCTCCAGACAGACGCAACACTGGCAGTCGGGTTTATGGGAGAGCGCAGAGAGCCAGCGGCGGGGAAGCTGCTTCAGGGGCGGTGAGCAGGAGAGGTCGCTAAAAACGGGCTCCGCGCAGATCCAGCGCGTGCTCAGGATGTCTCCCAGGTCGTCGCCCGCGGCCGGAAGCGGGGAGTCAGCCTTGCGAGTCAAACGTCCCTTTCTTGGTTTGATTTTCATGTCAGTTTTTTGCTCCAGATCACAATCGTCTGAAAATAGAAAGGTTTAGAGAGTAGGTTATTTGTGTTTTATGTGGCTTTGGTGTTTCAATGTTGTGTGAAATACAAAAAGTGTAAAATGTCTATGAGCTGGGCTCTGACTGGCCTCCTGCAGCTTCTCAGATCCAGGTTAAAAGCAGTTTGGTTTCCCCTTCCACTAAAAAACTTGTACACACAGGAAGCTTGTGCAGACACAGGGAGAACATGCAAAATCCACTGCGAGAGGCCATGTCTGGAGGTGGAATCGAACCTAGAATCGTTGACAATATTGTAGTATGTAGTGAACTAAACGTACCAGTGCATCGCTCCAGCAGATCTCTGACTTTGTTCAGGTCTTGTTCGCTCTCGTCCTTCTCCCCGTGCATCAGCTCCAGCTCAGCTTTCACCACCAGCAGCTCTGCACACCTACCACAAACAAACACTTACATTGGCGCTCACTCATGAACACGGCGACATGACCTGAAGTAAGTGGAGATCTGATTCTCCAAGTTGCTGTAGTCCTACGCACTATCATTGCATGCCCTGGATTAGACGCCAAATTAAAGAAGCTATTCCTGATTTTTTTTCTAAGTAGTTGATTAAAATGCTTATTACTACATACAAGTTGTATCATAATACATAATTTAATTGAAAACTTGAGGTAATTCATTAGGCGGTGTATGAGTTTGCTGCCGTGAAAAGTGATGAGTGGAGTCTTAGCGGGACGCTCATTCTCCTCCACTCACAGAACAAGCAGCGAACAGCCTGCATCCTCTAGCCTCTACACTAGGGCTTCAGCCTCGAAATTCAAATATAAATTCTAAAATTAAAAAAAAAAAAAATATTCAAACAAATATTAGACAGCCCTTATAATTCGAAATGTATTTAATGACTGCAAATAAAATAGTTAGCTCCCAAAGGTTTCACTGTGACGTGCTAAAAAACTCTAGAATTACATGAAAACTGAACAAAGAATTCTGAACATCAGCGGTGAGTTACCCATTTATATACCGAACCTAAATCCATCAGATCCTCTTCAAATGTGTCCTAAAATGGTCGTTTCATGTTAATGGTTACTTCAGAGATTTTCGCGATCGCTTTTTGTCACATTAAAACAGTAATTTTGTCATGAAAACATTAACACCAAATTCTGAAATCGTCCGTGCATGTGTGTTGAGGATGTATACTGTACTGTCCGATTAATGTTTAATGGCGTGGATTGATTGATATGTATTTGTTTATTGAGCGTGGCTAGCTCCGCTAGCTTCTCTGCACAGACAACTGTGCGCAGAGAAGCTGCACAGTGTAGTGACAGGCGCTCAAGGCTTGTTGTACTTGCAGAGTAATGTTAGTATTTTACACACCTGAATTACAAACAGAGATTGCGTTGCCAAAGGGCAGCGGTCATTATTTGTTTGAAAGTTCTGTTATCAAGAAAAAATGATCGGTAGAATTACATTCAAGTCAATGGAGTGTTCTACTGCTGCTGTGAGGAGCTGTATAATAAATTATAATTAAATACTCGAATATATTCTAATGTTTAAATGAATACATTCAGAGGCAAAACTAGCAGTATTCTTTTACCTATATATTGTGTTAGCAGTGCGTTGCTTTAGTACCATTTCATCATTGATTGTTGTACAGCTTACAAGAAGTTGTGCTAATGCTAATGTTAGCATACATGTCAGATCGCAAATTGAGCTAGATCCGAATCATTTTTATTGCCACGTAAGTAACAGGAAGTCACAGACTTGGAAATTGCTTTGGCTCAGTGCAACAGTCAGAAAGAGATAATAAGAATAAAAAACACTTCTAAGGAATACATTTAAATTTAAAATAGAGTTACAGTTACTATTTGGGCTTGTTCACACTAAAGGGCACAAAAGTGTGACAAAAGGCCAAAAATTAGATTTTAATAATCAAGATATTTTAGGTTTTTCATGTTTCCAAACCCCTCCTCTGTCCAATAGAAGTTGCTAAAACATAACTGTTTTATACATTAGACAAGTTTCCTATAGCGGCCCTGTTTATTTTATGTAACTGACGTGATGATTTGACGGAATGAACTTTGTGGAAGTTTGATAGGTATTTTCAGATGTCCACAATTGATTCAGAGATTCTATTTTTTTTACACAAAGTAGATGCAAAGTGATACTTTCATATTGTCAACCAATTAAATGTGAAAACAGACCAGATTTTTTTTTCTCTCAAGTTTAATTTTTAGAGAAAAGAGGACCGTCCTCATCACGTCCGTTATACATTTTTCAGGGGTCATTTAATTAATTAATTTGTATTTTTTTACGATTCCTTTTTATATCAAGTGATTTCCTTCTGTTGTGTTAACCATGTAAATATTGTGGGATTTTATCTTCTGCTTTTTCAGACTGAGGACATTTTATTTTCTATGTAACTGGCGTCACAGTAGAATGGTCCAATCAGAGGCTGATTTGGTCGTTTAAAATGTTGCTAAACAGTTTTTATGTCAATCTTTCCTTTTGATTTTTTCCACACTATCTCCTCAATCTGTCTGTTTGAAATCTGTTTTCCAATCTATGAAAGTAATTTTAGTTTTTAAGTTATAACCTTTTAAAGTCCAGATACTTCAATTGTCACTTTACTGTGAACACACTCATTTACAATATACAAGTGCACATGGTGCACACAATGTAAGGTGACAGCAGTACAGTGAAGTAAAGTGACGTATGATGGGCAGTAAAGTGACTTTATAAAGGGCGGGGGGACAGGTTAAGAAGTGTTCAAGAGTCCAACAGCAGAGGGGAAGAAACTGTTCTTGTGGCGGGAGGTTCTAGTCCTGATGGACCGCAGTCTCCTGCCTGAGGGGAGTGGTTGGAATAGTCCATGTGCAGGGTGAGAGGGGTCGGCTGTGATACGACCAGCCCGGCCTCGAGCTCGGGCTGGCTCTGTGTTATGAGAGCGCAGGGGAAATGAGAAGCCATTGAGCGAGTTGGGGGGCGGTGCTAAACTTTCAAACCGTAGCACCTCGGGTATAGTGCCTTTAAGAGCCCTTCAAAACTAATGAAGGAAAGACAAGTCCACATGAGAGCTGCCTTACAAGCTGGGGTACACAACATTATCTTCAAATACAGTTTGCCCCGACAGAAAAAAGCCTGTCAAAATATAGATTTGGGAATTACAAAACAAAATCAGACCATATCACACCAGGTCTTCATCTTAAATCATGTAATATTTTGAATACGTGTAGGAAAGTGTGAGTCACTATTCAATGCTTTTGGCTGAGAGCTGATGGGTTCTCTTTTTCAAAGCTGGACAAAGATGTCATAAAATCATGGATGTTTAAACGAAAGTTACGAAATTTTACTGTGCTTTCCAATACAATATTTCAACAGAAATGATCTCTGTGGTAAAAAGTTTTTCTTGTCTAAGAATATATGGATAGTGGTTATTACCAGACAAGTGTGTGAGAGCGAGTGACAGTAAAAAGTCAGTTAATCAGTGAGGAGGTGAAGTGTGCGTTTGACGTACTGGCTGAGCGCCCGCAGCTTGATGGCCAGTTTGAGCGCCTCCAGACACTGCAGCCGCGCATCGGTCACAGCTCCAGCGCTGCTCCGCACGGACACCATCAGAGCCGAACACGAGAGCAGGTCACTGAGCAGCTGCCACTTCAGACTCACGTTATCTCCTGGACAGACGCAAGCAGAGACAGGGTCAAAGAAGTCACTAGCACACCATCCCGACCAACAAAAACTTACCTACAGGGAATTGAGCGTCAAAAGCATCCGATTTTGTAACATTACCCTCACCATATCCATCAAAATCAATAAAACACCTCTTTTCTAATATCTGTTATGTGAGACCAAGCTAAAACACCAACATCCTTATTGTTCTCGTTTTCATATTTTGTATCATTCCGTATTCATTTTTTACTGGTTTTCCATCTGAAAAATCTGATCTTAAAATCTAAGTAGTTTGATTTCATTACATGCTATTATTCTGATGTAAAAGTTAGGTACCCCAGCTTTAAGTTAATTGAATTGCTCATGATTTACAGTCTCACCCTGGTTAATGAAGCGCACATCAGAGCTCCCAGCGTTGGTCCCGTAAAGGCCTTTTCCCACCAGAGTGACCAGGAGACTGCAGAAGAGTTTCAGGCTCTCATACGCCGCTGCATCAGGGCTGTTCAAACCTACATATAATACAAACACAGATCAGACCCATCGGCAAATATCAAAACTAGGGTTGTCAAACGATTAAAATTTTTGATCGAGTTAATTACAGCTTAAAAATGTATTAATCGTAATTAATCGCATTTCAAACTATCGACAAAAGGATGCCATATTTTTCTGTAAATGGTTGTTTGAATGGAAAGAGAAATGTCAACAGTGTACATATGTACACTATTTGTTTATTATAACAATAAAATGGCATTAACATAATTAACATTCTGTCTTTTTGTGACTCAGACCAAAACTATTGTTTGTTACAGATGAGGGACATTTCAAAACAGTCTGAAATGCAGAATGTCATTAAATCTGTCATGAACTGGTAGTGGAAGGGAAAATTGGGTACCCCAGCTTTAATTTAGCGAGTGCGCTTCAGGAGAAGACACAGAGGAGACTGACCCCCCGACTCCACCGGGCGCGTCTCCGTTGACGCGCGTTGGCTGCTGTCCGTCAGCCGTCCGTAAAACGGACTAGTGGTCAAACCGGCTGCAGCAGCGCGCAGCTCTGGCTGTGCGTTTATCAGCCTGCTTTATTTTTGTAGGAGACATGTTTGGGCATTGTGTGAATGAATGAATGTTTGGCTGATGGAGGAGTTATGTATTGTCGGCGTGCATGTGTGCGTGAGCGTGTGCGTGAGAGCGCCCGTGTGTGTGTGTGTGTGTGTGTGTGTGTGTGTGTGTGTGTGTGGTGGGAGGCGTGTGCGTGCATGTGTGTTTGGGTCTGTGACTGCAGCGTTTATTATGATCCAGCCTCTTCGTTTGTTTTCTACTTATTTAGCGCATGATACACTTTTATCGGAGCCAACTCGCCTCTCCGCGGCTTTAGGCAACAGGCAGAGCTATAGTTTTAAATAGAAGAAGCGGTGTGTGATGTGCATGAGCTGTGGCTATGATCAGTGCAAAGCACAGCATATTGAAGCATTGAGGACGTCGCGATGGATGAGGCAAAACTTATTGAAAGCAATTGGAAAAAGGGGAGAGAGAAAAGAACTCCAACATATCCAGTGTTGTGAGATCTGTCTCTCATAAGTGCAGCTCTGTGTGTGTGTGTGTGTGTCTGTCTGTCTGTCTGGGAGCGCGCGGCGGTGAGGAGAGAGCGCCTCGGAGGTAGACGGGACAGAGCGAGAGAAAAAAGAGCGAGGTGTATGAAAAGATTAGCGTATTAACATTACGCGAAAAATAAATGGTAGATTTACGATCAGGAAACAATTATTTAAATTAATACATGAAAAACATTACACACGTTTGTTAATAATCATTGTCATTAACAAATACTTATAACCAAGGACTACAGCATATCAATACATGTTTAACAATGTTATTCCATTGCATTTTCAATGGAAAACGGACCCGACACGCGTCGACGGACGGAACAAATAGGATTGTTTCTATTTCGTCCGTCCACGTCTTTTGCACCCTCCGTTGACGGAATAGGTCCGGCGTACCTTGGACGGACGCATGCGGAGGCAGTGGAGCCACTTCCATTCACTCTCATGGAGATAACGGAGACGGAGATGAAACGGACATGTTTGGACGGATCCGTCGTCCGTTTTACGCGCCCGGTGGAGTCGGGGCCTGAGGCTCCGCAGTCCAGCTTCTGCGCTGTATTTATTGTGTTCATGAGTTGCGCACTACAAGCCACGCACAACAATCAGAATAGTTCTGTGCGTGGTCTTGGGTATGATCACGTTACGCGGCGCCGTTTGCCGTGATCAGCAGCTGGAGGTGGGACCTGCTGTCCAGAGCGCCCGCAGCTCAGCTCGCAGAGTTCATACAGGGAACGCGTTTATTCTTTTAAAACTTGAATTCCCAGAGACCTGCTCTGTTGCCATCTCACACACATGAAAACAATTTACGGGCGTTAACGCGATAATTTTGACAGCCCAAATCAACACATAAATCACATGCCACAACAGGTTCAACAGACCGTGCTGGAGCAGGAGGCTCCTCTGGGCCAGGGGCAGAGTCTTCGTATCCAGACAGAGGTAAGAGGCCAGTGTTTGCAGAGCGCGAGCCCGGAGCAGGTACCAGCTCTTGGACTGTTTCTGATCACTGGCCTCTTTCAGAACTTCACATAGAAACTGCACTCCTTGAGATACCTGTATTCAAAACAACAACATTAAAAATACATTTCACACATATGGTACAAAACAAACCTGCATACATACAAAGATACATTACAGCACATACAAGCAAGCACACAAATGTCTATAGTTGTGTGCTTTCAGTTGTATTATACAGGTACACTTAGGCCTGTAACAATAATTCATATATTGACTTATTCTTCCTCCCATCAGATGTAGAACAATATGTTTTTTGGGCTCAATATTCATTGTGTGTAATTCTCTCCACAATTTTTGTGGGATTTTTGTCATTTTCTGTGTATAATATGTGACTTTTATTCTGGGAAATTACTTGAGGTATAGTTTTTAATGAATATTGTGCACAAGTACAAAGTAACAGTTTATTGAAATAATTTCTGAGGTGTAGACACACTAATTTGTCTTTGCTCCCACATCGACCACCTTGACATCCCTTAACATGAAATACTGAACTAAATATTGCAAATACTGTTTAGAGTCAAAGTCAGCACAGTGAAACATTTGTTTTTCCAATTCAAGCAAAATGTCTTAATACTTCAATATTTGTGAACTGCTAATAGATCTTGTATTTTGCATTATAGGAAGAATTCTCAGTTCCTGGTACTCAATGTCGTTCTTGCTCCCTAGTTCTGAATTCCCTAGTGTGAATGTGGCCAAGAGGGAGGTGCCTTTTCCTTTTGATTTATTCATCAACATAACAAACAAGCGCTCAATTATACTGAATATACGTGACGCAGCGGCCATCGAGAGGCCATATTTCAAAATGTGCCGACTGTGTTGCTGAGAGAGGAAATGGGTTTATAAACATTCTATTAACAGCTGTGAAGACCTAGACCAGTTCCTGGTGCCGATATTTACTCCCAGCAGTTTTCCCTTCACCTGTCCTGAGCTGTAGCAGTACTGAGCCTTTAGCAGAGTTATCAGCACAGACTGTGAAGACGGACCGTCGCTGGAACTTTCTGAAGACACACACTTCTCTGCTTTTTCAATCTGAGCCTGAAACAACGAGAGATATGCATATATTTTAACAAAAAGAGCCAAGGCTACAAACCAACTCTCATCACTAAATTGTTTATTTCACAACACTATTCCAGTCACATTCCCATTGTAAACGTAGAAATATCAAATTAAATTCTTACCAGGGCCATCTCTGGTGTCCCCATGTCCAGGAGGAGCCTGGCTGACTGGCAGAGGTACCTGGCACAATACTGGGGTTCACCGAGCTTCTGGGCAAGTCGGATGGAGAGCTGAAGAGCCTCCAGTGCTTTTAAAGGCTGAAAACAACACGTGTAAAATCAATGAGAGGTTAGCATGCCTGCTTTCAATACATTACAAATACAAAAAAAGGTGACAAAAGTCTTATAAGTAGAAGTTGAACAAGGACATACACATTTGATTACTCAAAGCCAGTATTTATCCATATATGATCAAAAAAAGATGACGGTATAAGTTCAACTGCGATTGTTTCTGTGGTTACATGCAGTATAAATGCAGTAGAAAGCTTTGACCCAGTTATGATTTTAAAAATGTTTGTTTGTGGTTCTGTTTACCCGCCCCATGAGCCTGAAGAGAGCAGCCATCACAGACATGGAACAGCAGGTCTGTTTGGGATCCCTCACAGATGGAACAGCTCCCGTCTTCAGAAGCGTCGTCCAATCAGACAGCGCCCTCTCCAGAGGCTGGCTCTGCTCTGAAACATTTTAGATATTATGAGACAGAATTGAATAAAAGATCCCACAGTAGTTAAGTGTTCTGAATAAATGAGCACGTACTGTTGTGTGCGTGGAGGCTGAAGTGGAGACCCTCGTACACGGTGACGGTGTCCTGGTTCTTCTGCTTGTCCTCGTATTCAAAGTCGTTGGTGCAGGTGGGATCAGTGACAGACTGTGTTTGGTCTCTCAGCTGCTCACGCTTCTTGTCTTTTGCCAAAGCCTTAAAGAGTTTTATGGATGGAACAGAATTTAAGATATGATGAACAAGACTATTCACTTTGGAACTGAATAAGTGGGAGGAGCAGATTTCTCCCATTATATTAATAGAAAGACTCATTTCAAAAACTGAGAAAAACAAGCAAGAAGGTTCCGAGTTCGGATCCCAGTCGGAACAGGGTCTTTCTGAGTGGAATTTGCATATTCTCCTGTATGCAAAGCCATGATTTTTTTTTCCAACATCAAAAGACTATGTGGGGCAAACACTCGTGTCAAATATAAAATATTTAAGCAGGGGAAACTAATTTAAAGCTGCACTAACTGTCAAGTTATTTGGTGATATGTTTGTGCAAATTCCCCACTTGAAAGGGATAAACCCTCCACATATGAGTTTGAACTGGATTTCACTCAATGATCAGCCATTGTTCTTGATTCATGCCATTTATTTGGCTTGGTTTCAGCTTTAGGTTCAGGTGAAAAACCTCAAAAGGAGAACAGAAACATACAGTCATTTTCCTATGCAAATAAACAGTCTTCTAATTGCACCTTCAACAAATAATGTTCCTGCTAGTAAACAAAATAGTATCTTATTTTAAATAATATTTACCCCCAAATGAGTTAATCTATATTTTAACCTGGTTTTAAGCAAATACCAGTAAACTGTGTGTTTAAGACCTTTTTTAAACATTCTTATACATTTTATAGTTGTATTGTAGTATTAACACATGCCAATTAACCAAATGAGTTACAAACTAAAGTCTATTTTCACAAAAGTAAAGTCTATTCCCTAAGTTTTTAACCACATTTGAAACTTAATACATTATCTTAGCTTTTTATCAAAGGATCAACAGTTCTGGTTTTAGCACATTTTTAAAGTAATATATTTCAACATTTTAACACTAAGTACTTGATTTTAACATTTTATCACTAAGTGATTGATTTTTACATGATTGCGAACTGCGTTTTCCAAACATGATCCGTATACATGAAACATTCAGTTTTTAAACTTAACATTTTTCATAATTTTAACATAACGCGAATATAAGGCGAATTTTGTTAATTAGTAGTGAACATAATATTAACGAACACAGACTAGTTAACCCGCATTCCTCCCTGGAGTTAGGTTTTGTTTTCTCTAACAACAGTACAATTTATAAACAACAATCAAACAAAGTAACTGTTTTTTGAGTCCGTGTTTCCTCTCCTCCCAAGGGCTCTTGAACGCGTCGCCGCGTAAGTTCAAGCGATTGCAAGTGAGGAACGGCGCTTACCGGCTGTCTCTCATGGGGTTGTGAGAGGGTTGCTCTTGCACAGTTTTTGTCTTTATTGTTGTCTTTTTGCGCTGCTTGGCCGCTGAGATCGCTTGTCCCACTCGAACTCACACACAGAAGTGTCCGTGTCCGTCCCTTTTAACTACCCCGGGTGGATGCAGATCACGCAGGTGAGCCGTTCCACCCACCATTTCCCTCCGGTGAGGAGGGGGAGCGGGACTACAACGCAGTTCGCCAGCACACCTCCCACTCGATCTTTGCACGGGAACCGATGGGGAGATCGTAAACCAGAAACGGCGAACTGCAGGTAAGGACCAACTTCAAGCTTAAGCTTGGTCCTCAGCTGGTAGCAGAACAACCAAGCGTCGAACGTCTCTGTGCAGGACTGTTGTTTGGGCAGCATCCTTCAGGACTTTACGTGACTGCTTGCCTGTTGTGGGCCTTGTCACTGGAAGAGATGAGCTCTGGACCACTTTGACGTTTACATCTCGAACAACGCCCCTACCGTCAGGATTCACAGCCACAACGCGTCCTAGTTTGAACTGGCCCCTCACTGCATTCTGGTCACATAACCAGACGACATCACCAACGGCAACGTTTCGATGTGAGGTATGCCATTTGCTTCTAACAAACATGTTTGGGCCAGCAAGCTGGCTCCAGGACCTCCAGAACTTGTCAACTTGGTGCTGCATCTCTCTGAGCCTCTTGTAGGGGTATCTTGTGAAGTCAAATGTTTTGATGTCCCCGATTGGAGAGGCACGGCCCAGGAGAAGCGTGTTGGGTGATACGTACTGAACGCAGTCTTCGTGGCTTTGGACTGTGGCATCTATTGGTCGCTCGTTGGCGAGGTTAGCAGCGAGTTGCAGAGTTGTTTGGAACTCGCTATAACTGAGGCCAGCGCTGGGGCCCAAGCTCTGGAGTGCCTTTTTGAGGATGCGAACAGCGGCTTCAGCAGCCCCATTTCGGTGAGGTGAATCAGCTGGATGGATTGTCCAATCCCACTTGGTGCCTTTTTGAGCCGATAACTCCTCTATAGCAGTTTTGTTTTGAGCGTCAAGGAAGCTGTATAGATCCTTTAGGACAGGTTTGGCACCGACAAAGTTTGTCCCTGGATCAGACCAAATCCTTCGTGGATGCCCTCTGATTGCAGTGAACCGTTGGTAGGTCAAAAGGAAGCTCTCTGTGGACAATGTGTTGACCAGGTCGGCGTGTACTGCCCTACTGGTCATGCAGCTGAACACAACACCCCATACTTTTGTGGTGACTCGTCTTTTAATGTCGTCTCTAACGTGGTATGGCCCGAATAGATCCACTGTAGTATATTCGAATGGCGCGGCAGGCCTGGTTCTCTCAGGGGGCAGGTCCCCCATTATCTGCTGACAAAGTTTTGCTTTGGACTTTTTGCAGAAAATACAGCCTCCCACCACTTTTTGGGCAATCCTTCTTCCTCTAATGACCCAAGCACTCCTCCTCATCTTCAGCCAAGGTTGCAGCCACGCCTTCATGGGCCTCGTTGTGAGCCTCTCTTGCCATAAGAGTGGACACCCATGCGTTGGGAGGTAGTAGGGGTACTGCTCGGCCGTCTTCCCTGAAGCCGTGGATTCTTCCCCCGCAGACTAGCAGACCTGTTTCAGGTTCTCTATATACCACCAAGCGGTCTGTGGTCGTAGCTGGGAAGGTTACTCCTTCTTGTGCAGCAAGGACGAGGTCTCGGAGGGCATCTTGACGTTCAGAGGCGCTGACGACGCCTTCCGTTGGGATTGCCTCCCACTTTGGGTCCTTTATGGATTTGTCTGGTGTCAGGAATCTTCTGGCAGCCCTCCAAACTAAAGCGATGGTTTTGACCAGACGAGATAGACTGCTGAAACGCTTTACATCCATCAAGCTTTGGATGACTGTACCAGCGGGATGTCTATGGACTGGAACTTCATTTTGGCGCCTTGTTTGGGCTCTGGTAAGTGCTGCCACGAATGATTTCTTTTGCATGGTTGTGATGCTTTCACGAGCAGCGGCAGAAACTTCTTTTGCAGACTTAATTGGCCACTCGCTTTCTGGGTGGTGTAAGAAGTCAGGCCCTTGCTGCCACTCTGAGTAAGAGTCCAGTTCCTTTGGTCCACCTCCACGGGTGATCATGTCCGCTACGTTGAGTTGACCAGGGACCCACCACCAGTTTTGTGGCTGTGTGCTGCTCTGTATTTCTCCGATCCTGTTGGCAAAGAACGTTTGAAAGCCATAGCTTTCTCGTTGGATAGCTCCAAGGATGGTCTGGCTGTCCACCAAATGGTACCACTGGCTGGCTTTGATCTGGGTATGCTCTTCAAAAAACCTTTTTAGGCGGCTTGCAAACACTGCACCACAGAGCTCAGCTTTTACTGCATCCCCTTTGTGGTCTAGAGGTGTCAGTTTTGCTTTTGACTCCACTAGTCGAGTCCTTATTTGAGTTCCACAATTCCACCGCAAGTAGAGGACAGCACCATAAGAGTTTTCACTGCCATCCGAGAAAGTGATTGCGATGGGCTCAGTTGACGCATCTGGTGGAGTGAGGGCTCTTGGAAATGTGATTCCACTCAGTTGGACATATTCTTTGAATAAATGTATTGCGTCTTGACGCAGGTCGTCAGATAGAGCCAAATCCCATGTGTCTTTGACAGTGCTGTTTTTGGGCTTTGCCTCTTGGAACGCTCTTCGAACTAAGATGGCCCCCTTCTGCTTTGCTGGTGTTGTCAAGCCGATCGGATCATATAACCCAGCAACCTGGCTCAGCAACTCGCGTCTTGTCAATGGGTTTGGTGTCTGTGCCATCACTTCATCCAGTAGCAAATCCTGGCCGAGCCGCATTTTTTTCTTTCGCTTGGAGAAGTTGATCCTCACCAAGACATGTAATTCGTCCTCCTCCACGATGTAGCCAAGACCAAGCGCCTTGTTGTCATCATCTTTCATTTGGTTTGGCAGGACGACAATCTTTGGCGATGTCTCCTCTTTTCCTCCCCCACACTGCCCCGAGAAGACCCATGGTTTGAGTGCGAAACCTCCTGCCTTCAAAATCTGTTCCACGTTTTCTGTTATGGTTTTGAGTCGTTCCTGGCAGTTGTGTGACGTTAGGATGTCATCGACGTAACTGTGTTCTTGCAACACTCTTTGCTCATCTTTCAGGTGGCTGAACTGCGGTAGTTTGGACGTCTCCCTCATTGCCAGTTGCGCAATACAACCTGCTGGCTTGTCCCCAATGTTCACACGCGTGATTGCGTATTCTTCCAGGTCCTCGTTCTCTGAGTCACGCCACAAGAACCGGTGTAGATGGACCTCCCGCTCTTCGAGCCAGACTGAGTTATACATTTTCCTAATGTCTCCAAGAGCGGCGAAGGAGCCTTGTCGGAACTTTAGGAGTACAGCTCGGATTGGGTTGAGGACGTCGGGGCCTTTTATCAACAGATCGTTTAGGCTTTGACCTTTGTATCTTTGACTACTGTTCCAGACGAGTCTCACTGGCGTGGTAACAGAGTGGGGGTTGGGAGCAATGAGATGACTTATATACCAGACGGGGCCTTTCCAGGCAAGTAGATCGTCTGCAGTCAGTTTTTTGGCAGCCCGCCGGTCAACCATTTCGTGTACTTGAGCACTGTAGGCCTTCTTCCACTGTGGGTCTTTGGCAAGCTGCCTCTCTGTTCTGGAAAAAGTTGCCTCCACAGCTCGTTTGTTGTTGGGTAATGTGCAGGGGTCCTCCAACCACGGA